AAAATCTATAATTCGAAGTACTAGTTAATTATACAAGTATTTTTGACTGAAGATCGATATATTGACAAGAAGTTATACTCATTTTCTAAAGCTGTAGTCTTTATACTTGTTGTGCCTAAAAAATCGCATTGATATCAATACTAACCAATCAGAGTTTAGGAAGACTTTGTACCGTCTGAGAGCTATCACGTTGCCCTAAGACAGAAGGGATACGGCTGTCACCACCCTAACAAATTCAAGTTTTGTCTATGAGTGGATGAGGACCGCACACTTGTCCAAACTTTATCAAAATAAAAAGAAAAGAATTAAAGAGTGATCCCTACGTGTCAGGACAACTTATAAAAGCATTCATTATATTGACTTAAAAAGTGTATAAATGAGCACCTCTCTTCACGACAAGGGAGGTTGGGCATATAAGAGCTAGACAGAGATTTGAGCGTCATTATTTCTCTCTGTAAAGCAAAGTATTTCTTCATCTTTGTATGCCTTATGGGCAATATCATGAAAAATAATCAGAGAGTAATAAAATAACAGTGGATGTAGGATTTGCTTTAAGTATCCGAACCACTATAAAGACTTCTCTTGTCAGTCTATTATTTATGTTTCTGTAACATATATAATATCAGCACCATATTCAAATCTCATGGGTCCATCACGTGTAATTTCTAAGACTCTCATAACACTTTACACGTGCGAGTCGTTAGTGTCAAAATCGAGCATCAACAATATTCTTTGATTCAAAATACTTGTATTTGTAGATAAAGATTTGCAAGAGAATGTAGCAGACATCTTTTTGTTATAATAAGCAAATATTGTCTGTGAACCGCTGGTTTATATTCCATTACCATGATCTCCTAGAAGATGCTGAAAAAAAATACAGTTTAATGCTTTAGCTATATTAGGATAAAGTGTAACCCTGAAATTCTATGATAAAGATCATTGATTTTGGTGAATAATTAGGACACGATAGGATTATTCCAAGAGGGAGAATAAGTGATCAACGAGGCATTTCTTCAATCCTTTCTGCAAAAATTATTATTCCAGGATGAATATCATGAAGGACATATATTACTATACGAATCTTATGTCTTGTTCTTCTAATGATCTAACATAAGCAAGCAGTCACATGTGGAGAAAAGATGTGTTTGATTTGGGTTGAATTATTGAAGAACTTTGTGATGACTGATCCAGACCAATTCCTAGAGCACATCCTTCGCCAATAATTCATGCATATGCTACCCTGATTATCTTGCTTCAGAGAACATGTGACTCTGTTAAATAGGTGTGCCCCCAAAACTGAACTCTCTGAAATCCATTTCATTTTCAGTACTATATCTTATTCTATGTAAATACCATAAACTATTACTGTCACCGACATTTTGTCGATTTTAATTACATTACTACAAAGATAAGATCCATTTAGATCTAAATAAACAAGAATCATACATATAACACATAAACATAATCCAATGTCTTTACATTATATTATATATAATTCAATTGCATAAAGGATTCTAGGATATCAATCAAGTTCCTGAGCGTTTTCATGATTCTCTTACGATCTTACCACAAGTCACTTGAATTTAAAGCCTGGTCAGGCCATTGGATATATATGTAGAGAGAAGGGAAAAAAAGGCATAAAAGCTTATACATTATGTTTACATGAATGGTCAACAGTGGAGGGGCCATTTAGAAGATTATTGGAGTAGCATCTGGTTAATGCATATGGATATATATCGTTACTTGTTAATAAGGAAATGTAGAAATACATGATTTGATGCCTTTTGGGTCAAAGTTTTTTCATGTTTCCCAAGCTTAGTTTTGAGTTTCATGAGCTTCAAGGTTTTGTCTTACTTAGAATTCTTAATTCTCAATTCATACACGTTGATTTCTCCTATTGGTGTTGTGCATGAATGCCTCGAATTTCTCATTTTATTGCTATATGAAAAACATGTGCATGCGCAGAAGCTTGCTTTACCATGTTTCATGAAACCATTCGTACTGCAGAAGCCAGAGACAAAACTATCTCTAGGAAATTGAGAGTATTTGAGAATTCTCGTCTAATTATCACCTTAATCTAAGACTTTGAATTTCTATGTACACAAGGAATTCAAATGGGTACGTGCTTTACACCTAAATATTTGAGTTAACGAACTTTTTTCCATCCCAATAATAGTTTATTATAAAATTTTAAAATATTATTTAATTACTCAAATTAATTTATATTTCAATAACAAACAAAAAACAAATTCGGTTTACGCTACTTAGGTTTTTTAAGAGGAGAGATTGATAAGTGTTTTGATGATGAAATATTAGATTTTAGTGGTTGAGATTGATCGAAATATAACTTGAGAATGGCAGTTACGCAAACCCTAATCACTCAATTATCTATGATTGACGGAGTCGATAGGAATAAGATTTTATGAGTTTTAGTAAGTGATGATAAAAAAAAGAAGAGAATAATGATGGTATAAGATCGTAATAATATCAAAATTAAAAATATAATATAAATTTCGATGATAAAGTGATATTTAAAAATTCTTTAGATAAGAAACTATCATTAAACGATTAGGAGTGTGGGAAAACTCTAAATATTTTTGCTTAAATCACGAAGTTTATCACCTTTTTATTTCTACGTTTCACAGGAAACAGTGCCGAAAGTAAGAAACACAAAAAGGCAGATCATCCAAAGATCTAACTAGCTGACAAGCTACATAAAGACAGTAATAATCTCTGGAGTGAGCAGAGATCTCCAGCAATCTTTTCATAACACATGGCTTAGATATATTATTATATATAGACAAGTACAATCATGGGTACTTAATGTAAATTATATTAAAGACTGTCTAATTAAATCACCAAACCATGTTTAATTAAGAAGCAAACGCTTAATTGTAAAACAAGTTTTTACTCTATACCTTGCTCATCATATAAAATATTAACAAAATACTTTAACAAATCAATCACTCCATTCTTTGCTTTGGCTTAGACATTACAACTCAAATTAAAATTCTGAGAGGAAAAGTTACAAAAAGAGTTTAAGGAAAACTCATTCCCTAATCCTGATATAAGGAATCAGATTTGCCCTCTTATCAAGTGGATCACTTTTTAACTTTGAAAGATGTAAGCTTGCTCTTCCTTTTTACCGCTCTTACATTCGAAAACCAAAGTGGGTTTTCTCTTTGTTTGAGCATTCTCCTTATTACTTTTTCTTTTTGTTGGAAAATAAGACCGGCATAGTGTGGCTTGATGGTAAAACAACAAAAGAGGATTTAAAATGATCTTTCAAGTTCGAGTTTTTTTTTTTTTTTTTGATAAAAGAATAAGATAAAGATTTAATACAGTCTTTCAAGTTCGAGTTCTCATGATTATTAATAGAGTTTGAGTCTCACGACCCCTAATAGGGATGGTTCTTAAAACTCTTATCCAGTCGATAATTTTAGGGTTCCAAAAAACTAGTTAAAGTATGCACAAATTTACCAGAACACTTTGATCATTAAAATATATACATAACACCTAAATTCTAATTATGAGGGACATCTTTTACGGTGCATATATGATTAAGTCCTTTAATCGTATGGGTTAAATTTGTTTCAATTTTATCAACAAATAATACTATATAGCATTCAACATATATAATAAGCATGCATCTTGTGACATACTCATCATGTTGATATATACTTATTTAATTACTTTATGTTATGTTATAATATTATATTCTTTATATGATCCTAGAAAGATTAATGAATTTAAAGCTAGTTTTGACCTACACTAAACATTAATTTTTATTCATAAATTATTGGTAATTGAATTATGAGAGATGCGATCGCTTATCCAAAAAGTCTATATATTAGCAAGATTGGAGGACATCTTTGTCGAATGGCCCATCTTCTACATGAGCATTTATGTCTTTGCATTATTCGTTTTCACTCAAAGTGAAACCATTATAAGAAGCAAATTATACGCTGTGATCACCTTCAAAATCATATATTTATCGAATTTATTCAAAATCGTATGACTTTCAAGATTTAAACAGGTAATCATGACAGTATGATACATATTATACTAGTTCTTATAGGGATTAATCGATATACGTACAATCTAACCTAAACACCCTGTTTAAAAAAAAAAAAAAAACTCAATCATATAATAATATTTACACTATATATATGCACATGATCCATTCCCTTCCGGTCCACCATTCTTTCTTACTCCAAATATAATTTTCCAATTATATTAAATACACTGTTTTTGCCAGTGTCACTGTCATGGTTTGAAGATTAAAACTGGCACGGGTTGACTTGTAAATAGTGAGACAAAGTTAGGGGTAAAGACGGGAATCCTAAAGTCAAACTGATTATTCATTCTTATTATCGAGCAAAATTTATTACGGCCTCACTAATTCAAAGGGATTAAAGTTAGACAGCTCCGGTCAGCCTGTTAACAACAATTCCATTCACCGTTCCAAATCTACCCTCTGAAAATTCAACGGTCAAAAAAAGAAACCGCGAGTTTCAACGGCCAAGATCAATAGAGGTAGTTGGGAGCGTTTTTTTTTTTTTATAACGCGCTTTCTATTAAAAAAACAAAAAACGAAACAGATTTTTTTTTTAATTATAAAGTTTTAGAAAGATTTTATGTCTTAATATCTAATGTTATCGGATATATTAAATATATTTTATATGAATTTATTTATAAAGTTGTAATAATATAATTTAAATAAACAAAAATATAATTGAAAAATCAAAGCGTTGGACTAGTAAACATTATAATAAAATATAAAGGGGAGTAATAGAAGGTTTAATTTGACTGGTGATTTTAACGCTGTTTGAAGTCAGTTTACTATTTGAAGGGAATCTATATCTTGCCCGAAAAAATATCTGACAGTTGCCCCAAACTGAGTGAGGGTAACTGCCCACACTGACACGGTCAGGTACGTCGCTCTTCGGGCAGTTACAAACTCCAATACCAATACAAAGACTTTGATCACTCGCTCTTATTAAGACTTTAGTAAGAGCCAAGAACGACTACTTAAATGTAAGACTTTTATGCTTCAATAGCTTATTTAGAGAGAGAGAGGGAAAGCTCCACCACCACCTCTGGTTGAAGGTGGCGCTTCACCAAGAACCTATATGGTGGTGAAGTGCACACCCTCTGAAGTATAAACAAAGAGAGAGTAATAAGAGAGGAAAAGAAAAAAAGAGAGAGAGAGAGAAGATGGGTCAAGGACTGAGTTGTACGACGAGTAAAGAACATGAACTCTTCACTGCTGTTCAGTATGGTGATATTGATATGGTTAATGATTTGTTAGAGAAAGACCCCAATCTCGTACATCATACTACCCTTTATGATCGCCACTCAGTTCTTCATGTTGCTGCTGCTAATGGCCAGATCGAGGTTGATTTTTTCATTTCATTTCAGTTTTTTTTTTTCTTTAAACTGAAGTTTGTTTCTTTTTGTTGATTTTTTATGGTTTGTTTGGTCAAAGTTTGATGTCATTCTTTGGATTTTTAATTATTTTTTTATTGATGGGTTTTTCTGGGTTCTTGTTGTTTTGTTTGATTTGCAGATTTTAGATTTTGCCTTGAATCGATCTGTGAAGCCAGACGTATTGAATCGTTACAAGCAGGTAACCATTTTTTGTTTTTTTATATTTCTATGTGAATGTCGCATCTCTATTGTTATTTCAAATAGATTGATCTCTCTGATTTTGTTTTTGTTTAGACTCCGCTTATGTTGGCTGCAATGCATGGGAAGATCTGCTGTGTGAAAAGGCTTCTTCGAGCTGGAGCAAATGTATAACAAAGTCCCAAATTTTGGTTATTTTTGTAATTTATTATTCTTTTATGACCATGGAATTAAACATTATGTGGCTAATCTATGAAAATTTTCAGATATTGAAGTTCGATTCCATCTTTGGAAGAACCTGCTTGCACTATGCTGCTTATTATGGCCATGCTGATTGCCTTCAAGCCATTCTCGCTGCTGCTGAATCTAGCCCTGTGGCTGTATCTTGGTAGGTTATCATCTGTATATGGCTACTATGATATTTAGATTTATTTGGCTTATACTAATTTTATTTGTTACTTGGAATTGGTTTTTAGGGGATACGCAAGGTTTGTGAACATTAGAGATGGTAGGGGAGCCACACCGTTGCACTTGGCATCTCGCCAAAAACGGCCTGAGTGCGTGCATATTTTGCTAAACCGTGGTGCTCTTGTCTGTGCTTCAACTGGTGGATATGGGTAATAATTTTTGTTAAGTTCTTTTGGTTTTTGTTAATTTTTGGTGTTAAATTTGTTCTGGAGATTGATAGATTACTGATTGCAGTTGCCCAGGAAGCACTCCTCTTCATTTGGCAGCTAGAGGGGGATCGATTGATTGCGTGCGTGCACTGCTGGCGTGGGGTGCGGATCGTGTTCAAAGAGATGCATCTGGGTAAAAATGAATTCCTTTCTTGATTTGTGACATATGTTAATTTATATTAAAAGTCCATCCAAGTGAATTTGATTTTGTTTCTTTTATCCTCTTCACGCAATCTATATTAGTTTCTTTGTTGCTGTTTTAAATTAAGAGCTTGAACTCCAATTGCATAACAGCCAGGGCAAGTTTGGATGTATTGTGAAAATTGAATTGCATAATATATTCAGTTTTCAAATTCGCAATTGTAAACAAGGTCGTTGCACTAAATTGAGGCCATCAACATGGTATTGAAATTTGAAACTGCAGTACTTTAGAAACCCTTTAATAATCATTTACCACCTGTTAATTTTTCTTGTATCTTTTGAGTCCTGTTTCTTGCCATCAATTTTCATGAAACAAGCTTATGGTGGACAAACTTTTCTCTTCGATGCTCATTATTTGTGAATATTCTTTTTCATGAATTTATTCATCAATACAAAACATCTGCACTGGTTGTCTTTTCTCTGACTGATTTTTCCAAAGATTTGCAACTAATGGTATGGTGATGTTGTTACATGGTCTTCTTTGTGTAGGAGGATACCATATGTAGTTGCATTGAAGCATAAACATGGAGCTTCTGCTGCCTTGTTGGATCCTGCATCAGCAGAGCCTCTTGTATGGCCAGCACCTCTAAAATTCATCAGTGAGCTTGATAGGGATGCAAAGGCTCTGTTAGAACAGGCCCTATTGGAGGCAAACAGGGTGAGAGAGAAGAATATCCTCAAGCATACTGCATACTCGCTTCCTTCCCCTTCGTATTCTGATGTTGGGACAGATGACAATACTTCTGAGGTAATTTCTTTTGAAGGAAAAAAAAATTAATTGCAATATATCAATCTTAATTTAGCAAAGTGCCAAAATTTGAATTATAGAGACCCAGTGGAATATTTAAGTTTGAAACTGGTGAACTTGGTTGAATATTTAAACTAAATTCATTAATTTTAAAAAATTTTAAACTTTGAAAACTTTTCCTCATTTGTTCAAACTCATAGCGATTACTCCAATTGCTAACAAAACAAATGACCCACAAGATGCCAACCCCCCAAGAAATTCATATCTTGAACCGTGGACCACAAGTGTTCCACTGAGAGTTTGTGGAAAATTAGCCATAATTACACATTTGTTGCAATTTTGAGTAGCTTGATAGGCTATCTTAACTTTGTTGCTTTATGGACTGATATTAGCTCAAGTACTGAACCAGTTACAAAATTCTTTGAACTCAGTCCGAAAGTTCTGAATTTGGGAAATTCTCCGCGGTGATGTTTTTTAAGCTTCTTTCAAATTATTCAGTAGTTAGCTGATAGGGTCATTTTCTGTCAATGTACTTGGAGCCATATCTTTTACAATTCTGTTAAGTGTATATATGAACTTTTACAAATTTATGGGAAATGACGGATTGATATATTCACATATAATGCAGGCCAGTGATACAGAGCTATGCTGCATATGCTTTGAGCAAGTATGTAATATTGAAGTTGAAGATTGTGGCCACCAGATGTGTGCGCAATGTACTCTAGCCCTCTGCTGCCACAACAAGCCTAACCCTACGACTGCTTGCTTAACGCCTCCAGTTTGCCCCTTTTGCCGAAGCTCCATTGCTCGTCTGGTGGTTGCAAAAATCAAGGATCAGGATTATGGTGATCTTGACAGTGGTGACATTGGCTCACCAAAACTGAGAAAGTCTAGGAAGTCCTGCAACTTCAGCGAGGGAAGCAGTAGCTTCAAAGGGTTAACTGCAGTGGGTTCGTTTGGTAAGATGGGTGGCCGGGGCTCTGGTAGAATTGCTGCTGATAATGAGTGGGTTGATAAGCCTTGATACTTCAAAGCATTTGATAATCAAAGATTCCATTTGGTGATCAAGAATCCCCCTTATTTCTAATAAGGAAAAAGGGAAATGACAAAAATCAAGGAAAGGAAACCCCTTTTGCTATTGCCTACTGGCCCCAGTTGGTAAATATAGATAGTGGTCCATTTGCTATGTAGATTTGGGAAATAAGCAAAGGAAAATGAGTTGCAGGTTCGGGTTGGTAAGTTTGGTAATGGATGCTTGGGTCATATTGTTGTAATCTTTATGAACTTGAGATTGAAGGAGCCTTTGGTCATTTTGAGAGTATGTTAGCTGCCTAAGTTGGTTTAAAACAAAAAAAAAAGAGAAAAAAAAAAAAAGAATTCTTTATCTACTTCAAAGTGAAATTCAACATTCTTCAATGGCTGCTTCAAATACTTGTATTATTAAAACCTACTTTAAGTCAAGGATATGAATTGTTTTTGTTTGGGGTTGAGATTTTGACCCCACCAAGCTTTAAATCTTTTTCTCTTGTTTAAATGTAATACGTCATTTGATAATATTATTTTGTTTTTCTTGTATAAATTTCAATAAATTGAAAAATAAAATAATATAAAGAAAAGAGTCACTGTTTGACTGTTGGTGGGCATGTGATCATGGGGCCAAAATCCAAATGAAGATGATACGACAAGATGTTGACACGTGGAGTGTATGAATTGTGAAATGAAGGGCTGAGAGAGCACAGGCATACCTAACTTGACTGGGGCTGGGGCAGGGGCATATTGGGGCTTTTATGTTTTTGGTGAAATTATTTTGTGTGAATATGCAAACAATAACATTTCGGAAAAGACTAGTAATTATACACTAAATTTATGTATTAAATAATATGATAAAATCTTGACCGTTGATTAATATTAAATTAAAATTAATTATTATAGTAGCATTACTCTTAACATATACCTGCGCTGTTATTGTTGTTTAGCATGTAGAAGAGCTCTTTACGATGAATCATGCATGGGTTCTGTCATGGCCAATGCCCATCTCTCATATTCACTAGTTTTCTGGGTCCTATTCTCATAATTTTTTCCAAGTGGGTCCAGTCCATTGGACGGTCTACATTGCACTATTAGAAATTTCCATTGGTTGATGATGGGAGTCAGGCAGGTTGATTAAGACCTTGTAACTAACTTATAACAATGTCAGAATTCGTGTTTATCTTCTTTGGGTGCGTTGTGGAATTTTTATAAAATAATATATCTTCGTTTAATTTGTCAAATCTACAAACCGAAAGAATTAGATAAGTTACAAAATGGTAAATGAACTTAAAATTCAAATAAAAAATTAAAAAATAAAACAAACCTCGATGACTACCATGTCAACCTCTTGAGGTTATTCTTACTGTTTGGTTGATTAATCTTCTTCTTTACTTTAATCAATCAATGGTCATCACTGTAAACTTAACTTAATGTGGCTTGACTGGCTAATTACTTATTATAGTAATTAATGGGAGAAATATCTTGAGAAAGAGTCACTTTCATGGTCATGGGATCTTAAATTAGACAAGGAAGCTTTAGACTCATGTTGAAATTTCCCAGTATGAATCCAGACCAGGACAGCTGAGAATTCACATTAAACGGGAAAATACGTGGCCTAATCACAACAACCAAACAAAGCCGCCACTCACAAGCTGACAACCTTTTTTCAAGAGGTTTGAATCATTCTAATACGCAAATTCAGGAATTAAAAGCTTAATACAAATCAATTTGATGTGCTTAGTTTCAACGCCTATCTTTGCGTAAGAAGAAATCTAATCAGGAAACCATATTTTTTTGTATAGTGCAACTGTGCAAGAAGACTGCAACAGTACTTCAACAATCCATGTCAGCAAACTGAACAAACTGCAGAAATAAAATATAAATCTATGATAAGGAAACGCTAGGGGCCGGTGTAACATAGAAACTGGTTTTCTGTCTATTGGAATATGGAACCTACATTTGAAAACAAAGTTTATTTGTTCCTAGAACATAAAATTCAATCACAAATAAGGGATATTAATAAATGAATTTGAGCTAGCCATACTTTAATGGGAGGGTTGTCCTTGTCCACACATGCATGAAAACAGCTCAGGAATTCCACAGCCATTAACATGTTCTAATCCTCCATTGTTTCTCATATCAATCTCTGAACCATGCCATGGACTTGATTGAGGAGGAGCGATACGACCGTTAACAAAAAGTGAATTTGATTCTAAGTTAGGCTGAGCCATGGCAAGCTCATCAGGACCATAAATATCGTTAGGGCTCAGCGGATTCCTTCTACATCCATTACCATTTGCAGCTCTTCTTTCCACTGCAAGAAAGTGGCCAAGTGATGGAGGGTTATTGTTGTTGACATTCGCAGCATCAGTGCTATCCCTTGAGCATAAAGAGAACAACCAAGTTCTTGATTTGTTGTTGCTCTTTTTCTCCTTTACTACTGCTTCTGATTTTCTTCCTCTTATTGATCTTTTAGAGAGCTCAAAGATACTGGAAACGCCTATAAGGCTTCCAAGTGTTATGCTTCTGTCATGGAAGAATGACCCTGTAGACTGAAACCAATTATACTAGAGTTAGACACACATAATCTAGGGCTGCAGAATTCTAGATTCATTCCAGCATTGAAATTGCAAGTCAGGAGACAAGATACAAGTTAATTCTCCTAAACCAGGTTAATTTCAACTCATAATGTGAAATTTCAGAATTCTCTGGAGCATATTATTCAAGTTGTTTAATTGAATTCACATTACGGAGAAACTCTGTATACACCTTACTGTAATGGAACTATTTTCTTTACTTTCTTCGCCAAGTACACTGTCCTATTCTAATAAACTATTCGAAATTATTCGGGTACAGTAAATTTGAACAGTTTAACATAATAGCGTACTTTTTGTAGTGACTAGTACAGTGACTAAAAATCAACCATATCAAGTACAAGAACAAGAGGATAATTACTGCATGCAGCAAACCTGCTGCAGATATAGTTTAACAAAAAGATTGAACTATAAGCAGAATTATATCAAGTATAAGGTCCTTCAACTGACGACTGATCCAAAGATTTGTGGCATCTTCAGATAATCTGTGGCATGTTCAGTCAATCAAGCAATAGTACCAAAACTATGAAGTGCTAGCTAGTACAAACTGAACTTTGAATATTGGTTGAGAGGCGCCAAGTTACATGGCCTCGCCAATTGTTAACTAGCATTGGGGAAAATGAAGAATTCCAGCCTAAATTACAGAGAATATACTGGCATAAAAGAGAACAAATACAGTGCTACATTATAAGCATGTCAAAATCGCTTCTCTGAAAACTGAAATGATAAGACAGCAGGCTCCAGAGACAAGACTACTGAAATTGAATCAGTGAATTCTCAGACCACGTACTGTCCCAAAAACAAAAGAAATAAAAGAACCATAGATTTCAGTTCTTAAAACTGACCTCTGTGTCTAAATCTGAAGAGGAATCAGAGGAAGTTGGAGAACCGGTAATCAAAGTGTTGAATGATACTGAACCAGAAAAATCACCATTTCTAGTTAACCTAACTCTCGCATTAAGAGGCTGCAAACCCAGGGGCCAGCCCTCTTCCTACAATCAAATCAGTAAAAAAAATATCAAGATAAAAGAAATGTACTATGAAAAGAAAAAAAAAACAACATGACAAAGAAAAGGTAGACCCAGTAGCAGAGAAATTATAGGAAAAGATCGAAGACTCCAGATGGAAAAATCTAAATAAAAACGAGAGAGAAGACAAACTAATACCTGTTGAGCCATTTATTTGCCAAGTAGTTCACTTGTAAGGTTGTGTTGATTGATCTTAGTTATATAAAAAGTCCAATGAAGTGACCTCAGGTACTAGAAATGAAGTGAGTAAATGGCTATCATTTGCTTCGGCGTTTTGTTTTTCCACACTGTCAACATGAAAGCGGCAATCTTTGATGGATTATTGATGATGAACTGAGCTTAAGATAAGTCCATATAAATATGGTTCACTTGTACTGTAGTACTATGCTTACATGAGAGAGAAAAGAGTAAAAACAAACAGAGGTGGGTCAATGAAAACACAAGTTTAGTAAGAGGTCTTATCATATGTGTGATTAGTTTTTCCCCTTTCCTTGGTTTTGTTGACAAGAGAGAAAAAAAACAGAATCATTCTGTACCCAGAAAAAAGATGAAGAAAATCGAGGCAAGGGTCCAGGAGAGGATCAGAAACTGTCTCCCATAATATGACTTATTTACCCTACTCACGACACAACTTCTTCAAGACTTGAAAATCAATGCATAAACAATTACATCCATAATAGTTGCAGAGAGAACAAGGGCATAACAGGAAAACGATCATGTAGGGATTAACTTAGAAAAAATTTAATGGCTTTTCATAATGAAGTGGAAAAAGAGGATCCAAGAAAGCAAGTAATGAAATAAAATAGAAAAACACTTCTCTGCTTTAGAGGCTTGCAATTCCAAGCTATGTGAAAGTAAGTCTTAACCCTAATCAAGTGTGAACTTTTTCTTGAGTCCACAAGCTACTCCAGCTTGTGCTGACTGAGAACAAGCTTTTGCTTCCAGGACCCATGTGTTACGCAGTTAACGGGCCTGAGAAGAGAAACCCCATTGAACTCCTCCTTTCACTATTAAATTACATGTTCCAGCTAGAAAGATAACTACCCACCACCAACAACATCAATTATCAATCATCAATCTTCAAAAAGTGTTATTTATTTTCTCTGAAGACGAACCATTTTGGATTAATCCAAACGTGTGGTGTGATTCTATAATACTTAGATATCTAGATTCAATTTACACTGGAAAACAACAAAAATTGTTTAATTTTACTAAAAATGTGCAGCAGGGAAAAAAAAATTGAGGTGTGGATTATACCTTGATATACATCCAGTTTCATAGCTTTTGAAGTAGACAAATAAAAGAAGCCCAAAGTCATAAAAGAGTAGAGTTGACTGATTCAAGCAATATTATCAGTCTTAATTGAGTGATATCTGAGATTTATCATTTTTTTTTTCTATTTGTTTAATGATTATTTGTGTTCTGTGGGTCTTCACAAAAGAAAATTGAGATCTAATCATAATGATCGGTCAAAGGAGCCGGTCTTCTTACCACATTATATCAATCTAATGGTTCAAACGGAAGAAAATTATGATGAACAGTATATGAATCCTTACTTTTTCCAGCATATTTGACAAAAGTTTTGCTTTAATTGTCAACAAAACAGAAACGTTTTGATAAGGGAGCCAATGAACGAACCAGGCCTAGACAAACTTGGGCTAAGGGCTGACAGCAAATACGCTCGGATCCAGCTACCAACTTGATAGCCCGAAGGATTCTAAATCCAGGCTGTCGTTTCCTGGTTACAAATCCATTATTTTTCATTCCTGGACCGCAACTTCTCGATCCACTTTGTTCCCGCCCATGAAACTGGCTGGATTGATCACTTTTCTCCTCTTTGTCAAAGCATAGCCCGCAAGAGGGACTAGATTTGGATCAATTTTGGTCCAACGTTTCAGGACCAACTCTAGTCCAATGAAAATTACTTCTCATACTGAGGTGCTTGGATCCTGAATTAGAACCGAAACCTGTTTGCCCTTGGTGGAAGTACTGTTTGGTTCCAAGATCAATGGCTATAACTCAATCATTGGTGAATTTGACACTAAACATCCCCGATATTAATGTCATTGAATATTCAATCAAGCAACCCGTGATTTGAGTTGAGTGGTTTAAGACTCTTGATTTCAACCAAGAAATTACTGCAATCGCATTGTGGTTAGGAGTGGCCTTGACCAACAAAATTTTTAAATTTCATATTAATTTAATTTACTTGTAATTTATCTCTATGTTTTGATCTCTAAGATTGGGAAGTAGGGAATTCGGTCGGTCAGGAGGTATGGCTTTCACCTAGGAGACCTGGAAGTCTGACGATTAAGGAGGTTTGTTCTCTTTATTGAGTTTCTAAGCTCGATCCGTAGGATCATCTATCACATTGTGATTTACATAATCCTTTGAGCTTGTAAGGTATTTAATGGATTTCAAAATTAATAGAGATACGGATAAACTGGTTCGAACACCCCGGTTACCAAAAACAAAAAAACCCTCTTCATTGTTCTTTACTTATTAGAGAGTCTAAACACGAATTACTGTAATCCAGAAACCAACAAAGCTAATATTTGCTTACAAGTTAAATTTTCCTGAATGGCTATCACTACTTGTCCCTTTCCAATCCTAAATTTTCTTCTTATTCCATATCAGCTTATCAAAATTCTTAACAGCAAAAGAATCTACCACCTCATTTTCTTGAGTTTGAACCAGATCCTCCAGATGATACAAGCTGCTCTTCTCTTAAACGATTTTACTGAACAAAAGATTTAAAGATATTGAAATATGCATACCCATCAGCTAGCCTAGCCTACCTACCCTTCAAGATGAAGGTTTTGATTGATATATAGCAGAAAAAGTTAGTTCGATAGAAGTGATAGTTGGGACAACATCCTTTTTTGCGAGCTCCAATAATTTAGATGTCATCTTTTGCGATAAAAGAGAAAAGCAACTTGGCTTTTTTGTAAGTGTAGACTGCAAACATCAACAGTACTTTTAATCTTAACTATACCCAGTACCAGCTGTAGGGAAAAGCTATCTTGAAGTTAGAGACATCATCAATTAATTTAATTACTGTTGTGATAATTTCTGTCATATGAATTAGTAACGGTAAGGAATATCCCTCAAGACACGGCTAAAACCAGGGAAGAGAGAGAGAGAGAGGATGTTTGCTTCTCTTGGTAAAGTCAATGCAACCCCATTTCCTTTTTTTTTTTTTTTTTTTTTTTTTTAACAGTTTAAAGTCAATGTGTGCAATCAAGTTTTTAACTTGATCATGAGTCCAGAAAGAAAGAAAGAAAGAGACCTCCATTGTTAATCAATGTTGATAAGACACCAAAGAGAATCTCTAAGAAACAAAAGAGCTCTTAGATAAGTAGCAGTATAATTAGCTAGGATCCTATGTTTACTTGTATTATGTCGTGTGTACTTCAGTTTTGATCTTTTGCACTGAAGTTACAGATTCAGATCTGATGTGATCCATAGCCCAGACATTGCCCTAATACTACAAAATTCTTAAACAGTAAACGAAAAAGGAAAAACTCTGAACCAAATTAAATATGGAAATGTTCGAACATTTAGCATTGATATACCACTTCCAACTGCCGTTCTACGTGGAAATTAGACAGAAAGATAAGTAATTAAGGAAAAGAAATAACTTTCTTCACAGATGAACATACATGAACGATCGTTCGATGATGAACATCAGTTAGCATGAGTTTCTTGTCTAACTTTCTTAATCTTGTTACCGAGATCTGCTCGAAGAGCTGGAGGAAACAAAGCTTCAATCTCATTTGACAGATCATGAAGAATTCTTCGTTGTTGAGGCAATTTTCTCTTTGGCAATGGACGTGTTTTTGGTTTTCTTGGTGCAGGTGGACATTGAAGCATCACCGGGATTTTCTGATCCAAAGATTTTGGAGTCTTGAACCCATCGCCGTCTTCTTCTTGTTCTTCTTCAACCTTGAATTCTCCTAAAGAAGGCAGTTGTATCTTCAAAGAAGAAGCAGAACCCTTGCATTTATTTTCTTGATCTTTCTCTTCTTTTGCTTCATCTTTTCCATGTAAATCAACCACTCGTTTCTCTTCACAAAGCTCCGAATCTTGGGAAGTTGCAATATTGTTATGACAGTCGTGATCTTGATGAAATTCTAACGTTGGCACTCTTGGTCTTGGTTTTGCCAAGAAATTTAATTCCAAGGAATTTAGATCTTTCTCAGCAGAGAGAAACATCTCGGAATTGGACACACCCATAATTGAAAAAGATTTGAATTTTGAGTACATGAAGAGAAAAAAACGATTAAAAAGACAAGAATTGGACCAAAGATGCAACCAAAACAAAACGACAACAAGAATAATATATATAGACTGAGAAAGTCTAAGAGAAAATAGAAAAGAAAATGGCTTCCTAAGATGTATAGAATCACCACATCATCTTCTTTTTTGTTTGTTTAGTGTAAGTAAGTACTGGTCTATGTCATTTCATCTCTCTCTCAAACTCAAAACTTCTTTGGACTATAGCTCTCAAGCCACTACTCGAATTGAGATGAATGAGAGTGAGAGAAGGTTGGAGAAGAGAGAGGCTTTTGAAACCCACTTGGGCGAAGGATCCAATGCAACATATATACACATACACACACACCGTCTCTCTCTCTTTCTTTTCTTTCTCACTTTATCAGAGTAAGAGAGAAAGTGAGGTCTCATTCGCTAAATCTCCCTTAAGCAATCGCCTTTTTTTTTCTTTTTTTTTTTTTCCCTGATTTCTACGAGCTTTGATGCATCTATGCACGTGGTTTACTACAGGGAAACCATCTGATCTTAACATGCATGTTCTATATAATACTAATACTAACCATACAGCTAGCTAGCGTATAGTGTAGTTGTCGCGATATTTTGACAATGGCATCGCCATTGGTATTCGCATGGTTTGGTTTCTCTTTCCTATAATTTTGTTTGTTATGCAAGAAAAAAAAAATATATATTTTCTAGGTAGGTTTTTTCTTTCCTTATAGTCAATCCAGATCACTTTTTATATGATTCAAATTCTTTATTATAAAAAATTTATTAAAAAAATAAGAGTTTAATAAATTTTTAATCTTTTAAATATAAATTAAATAGTGTGTTTGTCTTTCTATCTTAAATTTAATTAATAAATTATAAATTTTTATTTTATTTATTAATTCTCTCTCTTATTAAATATTTTTCTTGAAAATAAAAAATATCTTTATCAAATTTAAAAAATCTAATAGATTTGAATAAAAATTTTATTCTTTATATATATATATATATGAAGATTATCTTTATTTGTATAAAAGAAACACCATTGAAGATGTTTACTGGTGAAATATCATTTCTACGTGGCTTTTATCAGAAAATGTCTTGGCTTAAGCTGGCCGCAAGAAACCACACTGTCTGGTGCATGCCTTACGTGGGCCATTGTTAATTACCTCCATGTTTTGGTGCTTACTGAAGTCAAGAGGATCATTAATTATGTTAATGATAATTAATTAACCACCCAACCAAAGTTTTTCAGCAGAATCATTCCCATTTTTACTTGATTTTAATGAAAATAAAATTAGGTTATTTTATGGGTGAAATCAGAATATGAACTTTGGACGTATCAATTGCATATCTTCAGGAAAAAAAAACTACCATGAAGAATTGAAGATTGTCAAGTTGATTAGAAATAAAACAAATATTTTAGTACTATGATTAAGTTAGGCATTATCCTAATAATGAAGATTCCATTATATTATAATAAGAATGTACATTTTGCATACTTTTGGCTGCATTTAACCATATTTTTTCACATGTGTGGCAGCTTCGGCCGGCCATTTTCATGTTGTGGGTGGGGTGTCCCAGTCCCAGTTGCAGGCCAATTTCAATTTCTGCCTTAGGATTCCCTCCCCTTTGATTTATAACTTATTTTATTTTTATCAGAATCAAAGAATTAATTTAGGTATTTTATTTTAGTTGAAAAAGGTAAATTAATTACCAAAAAAAAAAAATTAGTGGGCATTATTTATGGTGAAATGGAATGTGTTAATGTTATGATAATGTAAAGTGTGAGGATATGAATTAATGCATGTCTTCTGTAGCGGAAAGTGGGGGACCCAATTGGATTGCTTGGATTTCATCACATTATATTTTCGACATGATAAGGGTGTGCAAATTAAGAAAGGATCCCACTATGCTCCTTTTTTTTTTTCTTCACTCAATATATCTATACAAATTTCACCCTGCCCCAAATTTTTTTATCTCTTTTACATGCCACTTCTTTATTCTTTATTCAGAAAAAAAACCCCCATAAAGACACTTTAATTTATATGTATAATTGTTTAGTATTTATATAATTTATGTCAATAATTAAATCAATTGAAAGGATATGTAGTATGAATAGTAAAAATATAACCACCATTGGATGACCTAGTGGTAAAAGAGTGAAAACAGGTTTCATGAGTTCGAGTCCTCATAAGTCCTAATAGGGGTAGTCACTTCAAGACCCCGGAGATTAACTGAGACCCGATCATAAAAAAAAAAGGATGTTGTACGAATAGTGAAATATATAATGGTTTAACTACTATTGGGTGGCTTGGTGGTAAAAAAGCAAAATGAGGTTTTATGAGCTCCTGAGTTCGAGTCTCCACAGGTTCTAATAAAGATGGTCATTTCAGAGTTTATCTAGTCGTTAACTCTAAGTCCCTGGAGATTTGTTGAGACACACGTAAACTGACCCGATTATAAAAAAAAAAGAATGTTGTACGAATAGCGAAATATATAGTGGTTTAATTATGAAATAAAGAGTGATTAATAAGGGGTGATGATAAGGTGGGAGAATAAATAAATAAATAAATAAATGAAAAAGTGAACAGAACACACACACACTCTCATGCCACATAATTGCTATCTCATTCTAATGCTAATGCTCATGCATGCTTAATGATTTTGCTTCCCATTTAATATCATCATGTCCCCAATCCATCTCTTACAATCATCTCCTCTCCCTCAATTCCAACTCCCTCCCTCAGTCCTCCCTTCTACTTTACATAACATACACCTTTCCCGCCACTTTACTTTGTCATTTTCTGCTAATGAATCTCACCTCCTTTTTCTTCATACATACATATACACACTGCATTTGGGAAAGAGCAGAAGGAGTTAAGCTTTGAGTGTACAGTAAGTATTATTCTATAGCATCAAACTATTGATAACATGTGTTTAAAAGTGTTTTTTGGTAGGAGAAGCATTTATTATTAACTGTTTCTGCAAAAAGCGTAACTAAAGGCATTCATTTTGGTGATTCTTTCTGCAGAAAAGCATAACTACTTTCCTTTGAGAGGTACACCCAGTCATGAATAATACTTACTACAAGTACTTGTTTTATTTCAAAAAGCACTTATTGAAGAAGCAAATAACATGCCCCTCTAATTTCACTATTTAATAATAGTAATTAATATCTTTATAGTACTGTCAGATCTCTAATTTTTCATACCATGCGATTGTAAGAGATCTTGTATCATTATATGCGTTATTATTTACCCCATCACCTTCTAATGTTCACATTAGTATTCATAATTTTGGTAATATCTAATTATTTAACAATAAAGATGGGTTGATAAACTCTTCTCACTAATACGATGTACCCACTTGTAATTGGTTAAACGGGACTTATTGTTGGACAAACAAAACCTATTGTGAGCTGTCACGTCGCATTTATGAGAAAAAGTCTATTACTTAAACTATCGTCATCTTCCAAATCTCGATTGTTTGAAGTTCAATCACCACAACTTCTGGGCCAGATGGGCCACCTGGGAAAGAGTGATCTGGGCCAAATGGGCCACTTGAATTGTGTAAAATCAATTTTCTTAATTAAGCAAGTATGGCTACTTGCTGCCTCACTTCATTCACCAAACTTCAATTAGAAATTGTCAAAGCCCATTGCAAATTCATTTATATTTGATAGGCTCCAGTAATTCTGGGCTTTTCTTTCTTCCATCTTAAATTTTTAGGCAAGTTTGTGGCTTGAACTAGGGATAGGCACGGGCTGGGGCAGGGTCGGGGACCCATATCTCTGGCCCTGGCTTGAAGGCCCAAGGGGATTCCCCGATCCCAGCCCATAGCCCGTTCAGAGAATCCCCGAATAAAGGCCATTTAAAGGTTTTCTACTTTTGTGTCCTTATTACCATTTTCTCCAAATTATAATATACCATCCAAAAAGAAATTAAATCTATAATGTACATATTAAACATAAAGATCATCATACTAAATTGATAATATATTATAATATATACATATTACACACATATATTATGTATTAACATATGATTATAGATAATAACATATTATGTATAATGTATAACATATATATGTTATATACATTATACTTATATATCATATATAATGTATAATGTATAACTTTTGTTTCATAGCATTAACATATTTTATATATATATATAATATGTTAATGATTTATTATATTTAATCTAATTTTATTTATTACCTATTTGTATATAGTTTCAGAAAATACTTACACAATTATAATTTATCATTGTATAATATATGATTGATTTTCAAATATTAAAATTCATATAGGTATATATAATATATATGATTGACTTTTTAATATATATATGTGGGCCGGGCAAGACCTACCCCGACCGGTCCCCAAAATTCGGGACTAATTTTGGGCCCGATCTTAGCCCAAATTCAGAATGATTCAGGGAAACCCCAGCCTGTTCTGTTCGGTCCGGGTCAGGGCAGGTCCCGCGAGTTGAGGTTTTATGCCCATCCCTGCTTTGAACCACTTAAGTTGTGGTCGGGTGGTAAGATTTTAGGTTATCCAAAAGTTTTGTATTCGAGTCCTATAAAGTAGGTTATCTATCACATTTTGTGATTTACTTGACACATTGAGCTTGTAGCATATTCAATAGATCTCGAGGATTAGTTGAAATACACGTAAATTAGGCTGAACACTCCGATTATATGGAAAAAAAAAAAAAAAAAAGTTTGTGTTTTTATAATGGTGTAAACTCAACTTGAACATTAATTTATAAAGTATATGCGAGATTTAAGAAGCTTCCTATTCCATACTATTTTACATAATCTTGAGTTAGAATCCAATCAAATTTAATTTATAAGATTGAAATCCAACTTAATCTCATTTTCAATTGGATTTGATTAATTGAACTAGCTTTATTTTATATAGCTGTCTCTTGATATAAACAAAGAATGTATAACTATTTTAAGTTTTTAACGATATTATATATAACAAAAAATGTAAGGACAAAGTAAAGGGGCAAACTCGTACTTTCAGTTTTCATTTGACAAAAGCTTCAAAACCAGCTGTATTCACGGGAACACCAGATCACAAGTACACGCGTCGTCATATACTTGAATCTAGAACATAAAAAACTTCCAACGGCCACGATTATATTATGGAAATCCGAGTTGTTATAAAGCGAATTTCATTTCAGTTGCGTTAGAGTTTCATTTGAGCGTGGTTTCAATTTCATTACATCATTTTTGAACCTAAGGGCGCGCTGCTGAGATCGGACCCTCCTCTTTCTGTAATCTTCGTTTTTAAGGTATAACGATCTTCCACATTGTTCTCGTTTATGCTTATTATGTGTTCGGCTCTAAAGAAAACGTGAGAAATCAAAAGAAAATTAAAGACTCAGGAAATTTGTTCATTTGTTTGTACGGATCTTGATTTGTTTATCTTTGTTTGATTATTGGTGTGATATTCTTTTGTTTGATCTGGATTTTGTGTTTTTATTAATCCGATGTCGATTACATTGTTAAATGGTGAACAAATTTATTGAATTTATCTGATTTAGGTTTAGCTTCATTGATTTAATCTTGTTTACGTATATTTGTAATATTTATGTGCTAGGATTTCATCTGGAAGATTCATGCTCAGGCTTTTTGATGTTTTGTATTTGTTATTTGTTGTGTAGTTTGTGTATTGGGATGGAATTGATTTTGGTTGCGTTTAATCATTTCTTTACAATGTCTGAAGAATTGAAGAGAGAATCGTTTTGTTTAGATTTTTTTGAATATTTGGTTCTTTTATGTTGTAATGTTCTGGTTGCTTTATGATTTTAAAATGTTAAATTTGAAGAACAAAAAGATCTGTTCTTTTATGAAATTATGTTAGCTTTAACCGGGCATGGGCAATGCTGGGAAGTGTGGGTTTCTAGATCAATCACATTACTAATAAATTGTTTGGATTTGATATTATGTTGTTACATTGGAACTTCTCCCATAATTTCGTCTGTTAGGCCACATGCAAAATCTTGTTTGTGGACATCTAAGTTATTGCTTTTTATATTCTGCTTGGTTTGATTTTATTAACACCTCTTTTAATTTTGTGCTGATGACTTGTTCAGCTAGTTATAGAAGATGGCAGATGCTGAGGATATTCAGCCACTCGTCTGTGATAATGGGACAGGAATGGTTAAGGTATAAATTCAGGGTTTCTTTTTATGATATCTCTGGAATTTCTGATAGTTTATTCATGGTTCTCCTGATGCATTGTCTATTTTTTTCAGGCTGGATTTGCTGGTGATGATGCTCCAAGGGCAGTGTTTCCAAGCATTGTGGGTCGCCCACGTCACACTGGGGTAATGGTTGGCATGGGCCAAAAAGATGCCTATGTTGGGGATGAGGCTCAGTCCAAGCGTGGTATTTTAACTCTGAAATACCCGATTGAGCATGGTATTGTAAACAACTGGGATGATATGGAGAAGATCTGGCATCACACCTTCTACAATGAACTCCGTGTGGCCCCGGAAGAACACCCAGTTCTCCTCACAGAAGCACCTCTCAATCCAAAGGCTAATCGTGAGAAGATGACCCAAATCATGTTTGAGACCTTCAATACTCCGGCTATGTATGTGGCCATCCAGGCTGTTCTCTCCCTCTATGCCAGTGGTCGTACAACTGGTAAGCAGTTTGACTATTTCACCATCTTATGCATATAACCTTGTTTGCACTCGTTTAAATAGACTTTAACTGATTTCAAAAGTTGTTTATCCATCTGTTTGAAGATTTTTTTTAATGTATGGAGGAATTTGGCTTGCAAATTGTTTAGAGAATGATAATAATCGGTCTGTGGATGTGGCAGGTGCCACCTGCATTTTGCAATGGGTAAGGAAGAAGTGAATTGTTATATATTAGTAGCACTATCTTGAATGAGTTACAAATATAAGTCACCTGTTATAGTCTTATTAAAAGCTACCATTTCCAGAATAGGCCTTTGGAAGCATTCATATCAATAATTCTCAATCTTTGTTACTTGGAACTTTAAGTTAGAAGAAGCTTAAGGAAAGATGTCATGACTATATGATACATTAATTTTAACTTACTGTTGATGGCACAATGGGGGTTTTGATCTTAGTATTCTTCTAACCTAGTTGGTCTAGCATGTACTTGGATGCTTTCATTCACTAATTATTACTTTTGTCCCAAATAATTATGCAGGTATTGTTCTGGATTCTGGAGATGGTGTCAGCCACACTGTCCCCATTTATGAGGGCTATGCCCTTCCTCATGCCATCCTCCGTCTTGACCTGGCAGGTCGTGACCTTACTGACGCCCTCATGAAAATCTTGACTGAGCGTGGTTATTCCTTTACCACCACAGCTGAGCGTGAAATTGTTAGGGATATGAAGGAGAAGCTGGCATACATTGCCCTTGACTATGAACAAGAGCTGGAGACTGCCAAGACCAGCTCTGCAGTTGAGAAGAGCTATGAATTGCCTGATGGGCAAGTGATCACCATTGGTGCTGAGCGTTTCCGGTGTCCTGAAGTCCTTTTCCAGCCATCCATGATTGGAATGGAATCTGCAGGCATTCATGAAACCACGTACAACTCCATTATGAAGTGTGATGTCGATATTAGGAAGGATTTGTATGGAAACATTGTTCTCAGTGGTGGTTCAACCATGTTCCCTGGCATTGCTGATAGGATGAGCAAAGAAATCACTGCTTTGGCCCCAAGCAGCATGAAAATTAAGGTGGTGGCTCCGCCTGAGAGAAAGTACAGTGTCTGGATTGGAGGCTCCATCTTAGCATCTCTCAGCACTTTCCAGCAGGTATGTATAATTATGATGGTGATGATAATTCATGTTTTATTAGTGTTTAGTATGCACAGGTGCAATCAGTTGTATATTCAAGGAATATTATCATTTTAATCTTATTTATGGTATTTCCTTGTTAAAAATGAAAACCTTAGAAAATAGCTTCATTTGTTTTAAAGAAGCTACTTTGCAGGTCATGGTTTAGTTGTGTACATACCTGCATGTAACATTATCGGATATGTTATGCTTAAGTTTTCATTCTCCTGAGAAAATATAACATGCTCTACTACATTAGGATTTTGTTGTAGTAATTTTTTTGCAGTTCAAATAGGGAAGTAATTGTCTATGTTTGAAATGCAGATGTGGATTGCAAAGGCAGAGTACGATGAATCTGGTCCATCTATTGTGCACAGGAAATGCTTCTAATTCTGTGGGATCAATGAGATGGAAGAGAGATGTTCCGTTTTCTTGCATGTTATTACTGTACCTTTGTTTCTCTTGAATTTCATGTTTTATATTGTTGAAAGGATATGACTAAGAGAGAAGTAGGGCCTATTGCAGAGTTTTAAATTCTTTTATTATTATTTTTAATTAGCAGTTGTTGAACCGTTCTTGTTCAATGCTAATTCCGAATTTGTCTGCATTTATTATTAATCTGGACTTCAATTGCTTCTACATAGATGGAAAAACGAGGTTTTCCTTTTTCATATTCTTTTTTATACTTCTTAGATAAACTATTAAACGTTTCACTCATTCACGGTCATCTTAGATTACCTCAATTAGTCAATTCTTATTCCTAAATCTGATTTATTATTAGTTAATAAGATTTGTTTAATTAGTTGGTTTTCTGTTGGGCCTCTAGCTAAGAGGTTTCCCTGAGACGAGGCACAATATGGGTTTTTTTTTTGGTTCTACACATGGAAAACGTGATTTGCTTTACTTGTAATCCATTTAGTTTTCTCTTGAAGGCATGATTTGTCAACTACAGTAGTTCTGGATAGAGGCAGTTTACTGTAGGAAAGTTAAAATGTATTTAAGGCTCAGTCGGTGTAAGCAAAGGCCGCTTGACTTAAAAGAGTGAAGACTAGGGTGAAAATCGATGTTGGCTTGAACTCGACTCGAAATTAGTCGAGTTGAGTTTGAGTTCGAGTAGTTTGAATTGTTAATCGAGTCAACTTCGATCACAGTCTTGACTCGATATGTTCATGAGTATTTTTCAAGCTCGATGGTTAAGTTGATAGTTTTTAAAGTAATAGGAGTTATATGTAATTTAAAAGTTATAAAATTTGCAAATTTTGAGCTCGAAATAGTGTTCAAACTCGATATTTTAGAGATCAAGTCGAGTTCGATTTATCAGATACTTAACTCGACTTGATTAAGACTAGTTGGTTAGACTTTGGATTGACTACATTATTGCCAGTTTGGGATTTGGACCATTAGAAAGATGATGTCGGTGTTCTATATCTATACAATTAATAATGCATGCCTACTAGTTAGTTAGACCAAATATTAGTCGCCAATTGCCAGTTGGCTTAATAAATTTTTAAAAGAGAGGTACATTATATTATTACTTGATTTAGATGGTACTTGATGGGCAATAAAAAATAATAGTGGGTTTTGGATTTAAGGTTTAGGGTTTAGGATTTGAGTATTTTTATAATACTCAAATTAATTTTAGATAATAATTTTGTAGATAATAATTTTGTATTTACTATTTAGTATTTACTGCCGCCATTCACGCTCCAGCTCTGATCTTATTTAATCAATCAATCACTGTAGTGTTACGTAATTGTTATTCCTAAATACTAAATACCTTGCGACAAAATTAATATAATCACTATGGGCCCCTTGATTTTGCTATCTACCAGTTTTTATTTTTTGATATCCTATTAGCAGATTTGTCAAAACTGGAACAGAAAAGGGTATAACAATTAATTTAGAAATTTAAATTATCATCGAATGAGTTCTCTAGATTAAGAAATAGTATGGTACAAAGCAATGTATATTAATTTAGAAATAATAAATAGGTAATTTCTCATTTAGAAAATTCATGCAACAAGTCAGCACAAAAGTCAATCACTCAAGCTCCATTTCGTGGAAATAGAGCACGAGACGAGAGAGTACTACCAAAGAAAGAAAAAGGAAAAAGAAAATACTACAAAATCTTACATCCTCCTACAATATGGTTCACAGCTTAAATCATCATCAGTTAACATGACCTCATGAAAACCAACCTATTACCGTAGTTCGGTGAGGTTGTTTAGTTTCACAGAGAAGAACGGAGAAATGGAGGTCTTAAGAGAGGCACAGAGGCCCCACCACCAGCTGTCTGGAATTTTGTTTTCTAGGAAGGTGAGTAGTTGCCAGTTGCCGGAGATTGTCGAAGAAGATAGTAATGAGAAAGTGTATGTTGCTGTTGGAAAGGGTGTGGAGAAAAGTGTGAGTTTGCTTCATTGGAGTTTTAAGCGATTTGGAAGTGGTAGAGAATTTTGTATTCTTCATGTTCACCAGCCCTCTCCTCTCATTCCAACTCTATGTAATTCTCTTTCTCTTTTTAGTATAAAGAATTCTCTTTAATTTTTTTTGTCACAGAGTGGTAAGTTTGAGACATGTTTTGGAAATGATCTTCTGAATTATATTGATTTTGCAGTGGGGAAATTACCTGCGAGTCAGGCTAGTCCTGAAGTGGTTTCTGCATTTAGAATGAAAGAGAGAGATGAAATGAAGCATCTTTTGGACTATTACTTGAGCGTTTGCTCTGAAGTTAAGGTGNGAGGTGTGAGTTTGCTTCATTGGAGTTTTAAGCGATTTGGAAGTGGTAGAGAATTTTGTATTCTTCATGTTCACCAGCCCTCTCCTCTCATTCCAACTCTATGTAATTCTCTTTCTCTTTTTAGTATAAAGAATTCTCTTTCATTTTTTTTTTTGTCACAGAGTGGTAAGTTTGAGATATGTTTTGGAAATGATCTTCTGAATTATATTGATTTTGCAGTGGGGAAATTACCTGCGAGTCAGGCTAGTCCTGAAGTGGTTTCTGCATTTAGAATGAAAGAGAGAGATGAAATGAAGCATCTTTTGGACTATTACTTGAGCGTTTGCTCTGAAGTTAAGGTGATCTTCAATTCAGCTTCTCATCTCTATGTCTATAGCGAGTGTTTCTTTTTATTATATTATAAATATAAGCTTTTTTGTTTCATGAGGCAAAAATCAAGATTATTATTGTATCCTTAATAGTTATATGTTAAGTGTAAATGATTGCTTCTTTGTAATGGTGGTCTTACTTAATAATCGCCCACCTTGTTTGAGATACTTATTATGAAATTATTGCAGGTTTGGTTTCTCTATCTATTAGCTTCTCTGATGATCTTGATTATTCACTCACGTTTTTCATTCAATTTATATACTTTATGCTTCATGAGACAAACATCAGGAGTATCGATGTGTTGTTAATAATTGAATGTTGGTGTTATTGATTGTCGCTTTATACGTGTGGTGGTGCTTAATAGTTGCGTACCTTCTGTTGCAATACAAATCAAATAACAATGGGTTAAGTCTTGGGTTATAAGGCTAGTTAAGCAACATCACCTAATAGGGCTAATCTTTTAGGTAGTTGATAAGTCTCTAATGCGAGATAAATGGTCAGAATGAGCAAAGTTCTTATCCACTATGTGAGTTCCTCTTTTACATGTCAAGTGCCTTAAAAAGGGTCTAGGTAGGGCAGGACTAACAATGGATAGTGTTGGATGTGATGATGGTATTACAGGATCAGGTGAGGGAGAATTTGCAATCTTACATCGGACAGAAATTGGTTAGCAATTGGTATTAAAAAGGTGGATTGACAACATTATCTAACAAGTTAATCTTTTAGATAGTCGGCAAATGCTTAGCCTGTGAAACTTCTTTGCTATTGTAAAAGAAATGAATATCAGCTTTAGTTTCTCTAATAATTTTGCATTATTATCTCATGTCCGCTGTTATATATTTTGAAGTACATCTGAAAAATGAAACGGTGAGTACAAAAATGAGTGATAACCCTGAGAAAACACTTGTACGATTCAGTTCAACATGCGTTCATTTGGGTTTGACTGCGTCATGCATGGCTCTATGATTCAAAGATTAAGATGTGAACTTGTTTTGGTTAAATGTGAATCCATGATTATTCATTTACTTTTATGCAAAGACCTGCTTCATTTTGTTTAGTCATCTTAGGAAAATAGTTATGTTGCAGGTGAATGCAAGCATCATAACAACTGAGGCTGACCAAGTGCAGAAAGCAATTATAGAACTAGCAAACATACATGGTATCAGGAAACTTGTTATTGGGGCTGTACCAGAGAAGTAAGTAATCCATTGATGTTTTCACCACTTCCTCCTTTCCTAACTGAACAGCTGATCTCATATGCTAAAGTATTCAAAAGTAATAGTTTGGCATGGCTTGTTTGGTGCCTCTGTCAGACTGCTTTGGTTATCTCCTGCTGTGGCGTAACACCTAATCTTTTCTACCTTTTTGGTTCTATACACCACACAGTAATGAAGTGCAAATATAAAACTGTTACTAAATTTTTTGTTGCAAGCAAACACAAAAATGATTTATAATTTAAATATGTATCATACTTGTTCTCATGACATGGACACTGAACTTGGCTTTTTATCTTTGTATCGAAACTAATATTGAAAAGCTTTTGACAGTCACCTCAAAATGTTATTAGAATCATATTAGTGGACTTCTGTTTTCTCTGTGCAGCCTTGTTTCACCTGTTAAAATTGTTGGTATGAGGTACAGTTATTATAATTGTGTAAGTGGGTTCTGTCTTCTCTGTGTAACCTTTGTTCATCTCTTATTGTGGTTGATATCTCAAATCCTATACCATGTTCCCTTGCTTGTGTTCTTTCTCTCTCTCTTTTTCAGTTCTTTTCATACTTTCTTCTCCTGGCTGTAACATTTGGTTCATTATAGTTGCATGAAGGTCAAAAAGAGCTCTAGCAAAGCATATTATGCTTCCAAAAATGCTCCCTTGTCCTGCGAATTATGGTTTGTGAATAAAGGGAAACTTGTGTGGATGAGAGAAGCTTCTGAAGGCCCAAGTTCATTGCCATCATGTAATCAAGCAGAGACTTTGACTGCAGAAACTTTAAGGTCTAGATCCTTGCAATATCATAATACAGCTTCATCATTTCCCTCTGAAAATTTTCGTTCCAGGTCTACTACAAGTATAAAAAGTGCTCCAATTACTGACTGGATTCAGACTGAACCAATTTATATATCGCCTATGTCACCAACTTTGTCTGGTTCAGTAAGTGGATGTTTTCCCCATTATGATCAGAGTTTATTAAGGACAAGAAGTAGCACCAGTTCAGGATATACTTCTGCTGAAAGGATATCTACAGATTCTGATTCAAAGTTTGAGGAAGATAGCCTTTGGGGTCGACTTAGAGAAGCAAGTTTAGAAGCCGAGGAATTAAGGAACCAAGCATATGTAGAGCTATTGAAGTGCAAAAACTTGGAATTGGAAGCTATGGAAGCTATTAGCAAGGTAACCATGATCTTGATATACACAAATACAGAGTATTTGCACTTTCACATCAACTTTTTACTGAATCTTTATATACACACTTAAGGTCTTGCTTTGTTTTTGGTTCACCTGAATTCTGTTTTGTTAGTTTTAAATATTGCAAATATTCCTTGAGTCTGTGCCATCATATGCAGTGAACGATCTTAGAAAGATTGAGTTTCACCTGAATTTTTGCGATGTTTCTTTGCTGCAGTTGCTTGACATTTTTTCCTTTGCTAATAACTACTTTAAAGGAAAAGGAAACCAAAAATCAAAGTGAGAAGTCAAGAAAGAAACTAGAAACGTTGGTACATCTAATTTATATCCTAACTTCATGTGTGCTTTTTTGCTTGTTTGTTTTCTACGTTTAAAAAATTATCAAATTAGTTCTAGTAATTTTATACAATTCACAACATTGGTTTTGCAGGCAAATCAAATATTGGTGTCATCTAGAGTTTTCTTAACCCACAATTTCTTGCTTAGAGACTTATAGGAAATACACTGAGGAGGTTTCGGTTTGAATTATTTGAGAGTTCCATCAACGTATGTAATGATAATGCAAAAGCTCATTATAGACCATGATTAATTTGTGGATCTTTTCAGTATTCTTCTAATGTTAGACAAACTGATTTCTATTTTTTCAGGTGAAAGTTTTTGAGTCTGCCCATGCTCGTGAAGTGAAACTTAGGAAGGAAGCTGAGGATGCACTTGGAACTATGATACAGGAACAAGAAGTGCTCTTGGAGGAGAAAGAAAAAGTTACTGGAGAGCTCCATAAGACAATGAGGAATGTTGCTCTTTTAGATAGTCGTGCACAAGAAGCAAACCGTAGGCGTGATCAAGCAGCTGGAGAGTTAAAATTCATTCAGACATCCATTGCAACTTTGCAGCAAGAAAAGCAAAGACTACGACAACAGAAAATGGAAGCTGTGCGTTGGCTAGAGCGGTGGAGAAGTCGTGGGCAAGCTGGAGCTACAAACTGTAATGGGTTCATTGGGTTTGTGGAAGATTTGCCTGAGTCAGCAGAATTTTCATTGGCAGATTTACAAACTGCAACATGTGATTTTTCTGAGAGCTTCAAACTTGGGGAGGGAGGATTTGGCTGTGTCTACAAGGGGGAAATGTTGGGTAGAACTGTAGCCATAAAGACGCTTCATCCTCATAACATGCAAGGGCAATCTGAGTTTCAACAAGAGGTCAGCTGATCTTTTTCCCTCTCATTTCCAGCCCACCCCACTCCACTCCATCCTGTGAACGAAAATACTTACACAGTTAAAAACAGTAGAAGAATAAATTCTCTGTTTTTCTAAAGGCCAATCACTTGGCTTCATGATGCTGGCATGAACTTTTGTATCTCCCAATAGAAAATAACTCAGAGCCCACTAGTTTGTACAATTTTGTTTTTGCTTGTTCATAATATTTAGAACTTAAACACCTTTTTAATTAATTGGCTATCATGCTTAGGTGTCCCTAGAAGATTGAAGTGACTTGTGCGACCCCTTTGGTTGAAGTTTCCATAACTATTAACACTATCTTTTTCCAATGACATTTAGGCTGCTAAATGTATGGTGCGCTTCAGTCAATTCTGAAACATCGGGAGTAATCTTTTAGTGTATGCCTAACTGTATAGTTGTATTGGATTGGATGTGTGAACTAGCCTGTCGCTAAAGTCTCTGTGCAATTGTACTTTAGACCTGGGATCGTTACTACCCTGATTGGGGTGACTAAGAGAAGCAGAGGGATTGTGTCACTGATTGATATGTTGTGCTCTATTTGCTGGTTTTATGAATCACGCATAACAAAATTCCGAGTTTGATGTGTGATTCCGACCAGGAAAAAAAAAAAAAAAAACCATGTAGTAAGAGTTGTGAGTCATAGAAGATGTTCTCATTTATCTTTCCTTTGTCATAGGGTTGCTTAGAACTTATTTAACTCCAATATGTTTTTCATATTTGTGGCTGCAGGTTCGTGTTCTTAGCAAACTGCAACATCCTCATCTAGTGACTTTGCTTGGAGCATGCCCAGAAGCCTGGGCCCTTGTATACGAGTATCTGCCCAAGGGAAGTCTTCAAGATTGTGTTTTTCGAAAAAGTAACATTTCTCCTTTGACATGGAAGGACCGAGCACGGATAGCAGCTGAAATTGCTAGTGCCCTTTGCTTCTTGCACTCATCCAAACCCGAAAAGATTGTCCATGGTGATTTGAAACTTCAAAACATTCTTCTTGATTCTGAACTTAGCTGCAAGATATGCGATTTTGGCATATGCAGGCTGCTTACCGAAGAGAGCCTTTGTTACCCAAGTTTTAATAGGGGTTCTGTGCCAAAGGGTGCTTTCCCATATGCAGATCCAGAGTTCCACAGGAATGGAGTCCTAACTCCTAAGACTGACATTTACTCCTTTGGAGTGATAATTCTTCAGCTACTCACTGGAAGGCTACCACTTGGGTTAGTGGCTGAAGTGCGAAAAGCTGTGTCCTGTGGAAATTGGACATCAATTTTGGATTCATCTGCTGGAGATTGGCCTACATTTGTTGCAAGGCGTTTATTGGACCTGGGGTTGCAATGTTGTGAATTGTATGGTAGGGATAGACCTGACCTCACACCAACACTTGTGAGGGAATTGGAGCAGCTGCATGTCACTGAGGAACGGCCAGTACCATCATTCTTTCTTTGCCCCATACTTCAGGTGTGTGCCCTCTTCTTTATAACTAGGGTAAAAATAGCACTTCTTTCATTATCGTTGATGATCTTTTCACGTGATGTAGCTGATGAACCACTAAGCAAATAGCAAGAAATGAGGAGCTTGCTTTTAGTAATTTATTGTTGAACTAGACTAAGAAAGTTGCATGAAACTATATTTCCACGGTTTGAATTGCTGAGCTCTTGCAACACTGGGAGCTCAGCTTGATGAATTGAAGTATAAGTACTGATGACAAGTCTGATGGACATAACTATTGTGACAGCAGAAAAACTAATGCTAGACATACAAACTATGTTTACAAACGGAAGTTATATCAGTCTCTTATTGCAGCACCAATTATCCTCAGTAATTGCATTAACATTTTTACTTTCACATTATCATTCTTTGTCTGCCTCATGACTTTGTATATAAAGTTTGTACACAGTTTGTCACTGTAGTATTAAGCCACCCAAAAATTATGTGAGGAAAAATCTTAGATTCTTTCACAAATTAGGAATTTGGACTTCCAAGTATTTGTTGATTAGTCATATTTGTGCATGTGAGAGTTTAAACTTCATGAGAGGTACATTAAACAAGCTCAAAAAGGACTGCAGAAGCATGGGGGTACTATTCGAGCTCTGCTCAAATTTAGAATTAAGTATAGTTAATCTGCAGTGATCTTGCGTTTAATTTCTTACCAATCTGGCTTATGTTTGAAATGATTTCATTTCAGGAAATAATGCATGATCCTCAGGTAGCAGCAGATGGATTCACATATGAAGGAAAGGCCTTGCGTGACTGGTTGGAGAATGGCCGTGAAACTTCACCCATGACCAATTTGAAATTGAGTCATTTGCAGCTTACTCCCAACCATGCTTTGCGGCTTGCGATTCAAGACTGGCTTTGCAGATCTTGAATTCCCTTTCATTCATGTATGTATATGGTCTCTGTGTTATTTGTGTGTATTGTTAGTATATGAATCTTTGCTGTGGCACTGTAAATTATGTAAAAGTTGGGATTGGTTTTTTTCTGATTTATATCAATCAATAAGTTAGTCTGTAGCATGCCTTTACTATAGTTATTGATGGAAAACCGAAAATGGAAAAATTATATCACGATAATATGGCTTTTGTGGCAAAGCGTAGGGAAACCAAGGTTTTTTTATTTATCTATCAGTGTAACAGCCTCGAGAAGTGCTTCAGACAATACTTTTTGCGTACTCTTTTAAGTCTTACCAAGCACAACTGTTGAACTACATAATACACGTATTTGGGGAACAAACAAAAGCTGAGCTCGTTAACTGGTTGCTAAATCTAACAGCCTTGTAGACTTATTTTGTGCTTCAATGCTGAAAATGTATGGAATTTATTCAACATCCTTGCAAGATGCCATCTCTTGCAGAAAGCAATGAAGCAGTAGCTTGATTCTCCATTCCATTAAAGGGGTGATCATCGTCAACTAAAATTCCAACTCTGGCTTCTTCATTCCTGCTATCTATAAGTGGATTGGACTCCCCGGACAAATTCCATCTATATAACTCTTCATCATTAGGAGCCATATTTTCTTTGAAACTTGTTTGAGTTTCTGGATTCTTAAGCATCTTCCCATCACTGAAACTGCGCCGAGAACTTGAGTTCTTTGAATTCTTGCTGGTCTCAGGGATTGAATTCTCATTTTTCTGCTGTATTTTTTCAACTTTTTGGATCGAATCTCCTCCATTTGCAGGCGGTATCTGATTTTCTTCATTTTCATAGTTGTTGAACTGGGAGTTGCATCTTTCAATTTTTCCACTTGATGATTGCTTCAGTATGCCATTTGCTGAAGATCTCTGGCAAAAGCTTCCAAACCCTTGAATCCCTCTAGTCAACTTTCGAGTACGATCTCTCTCCTCCTTAAGAAGAGTTCCTTTTCCAAGCAACTTCAATATTCTCTCTGCTTTCTTCCTAACAGCTAAACCCCAATTGAATCTGCAACTCATAAATATTTTTATTTAGATCATGAATCAAGAGATAGCGCAAGAAAAAAAATTATATATATATATATGATATTCATACAGACCCTCTCTCATCAATGTGCTGAAAGCTTCCCATCTCTTCAATAACCTCTTTATCACTCTGAAACTCTTCTGCCACACTCTCAGGTCCATGAGTCAACAAGCGTTCAAGAACAACCAAAGAATTGTAGGAGACCCTCCAGTTCTTTCTTTCAAATTTTGAAAATCTGGGTACAACAACACACACCCAATATTAAAAATGAACCAACAGACAAGTAGCACAATTGCAGAAGTATATAATCAACAAACCTCTTGTGCAGTATCCCCACGATTCTCCAATAATCATCAACCTCAAAAGCAGCCCTTGATATTGATCCCAGGGTTCGTGCATCAGGCGACCATGGATTCTCATTTGTAGCTTCTTCAGCCAACCTTTAAAAGGATAAAAATACTCAAAACAAAAATCAATACAAAAGCTTTTCCAATACCAATAAGACATGTGATATAGAAACAACAAACTTACAGTTCTGCAGGTGTAACGTCAGTCAAAGCTAACCGAGCAGTTTTGATCTTTTCCTTGAAAAAGAAAGAAGCTTGCTTCTTGAATTCATGAAAAGAAGAAGAACCCATGTTGCTGTTAATGTTTTTGTTTAAGATAGACATGGTCTAGATGGGAGAAAATCAGAAAATAAAGAAAGAACCAGAAAATTTTAACTGGTGTAAGCATAAGACTCAACTAATCCGCTTAAGCCAAGAAAAACAATCACCACCTAATATCTATCAAAACTCATGCTTTACATATGTTATTTAATTAAACCGCATTAAAATACAGGTTCGCTGGTGAGAATTAACAGAGGAGTAGTTTTCAAAGGTGATGAAAACAATTGAAATAAAAGAAAATTATATAAACATTTCATGAGACGTTGTGGAAATAATTGTTTATAAAATGCGATGCTAAAGTCAACATCTCTACAGTAGTAGGGACCTTTGGTTTGAATTTGAAATTGTGATGCTTCCAAGAACAGAAGTTGGGTCCCTATCAAATGTGACTGACTCCTTCTATAAGGTAGCCGCCTGGAACGAGGAAGGAGTAAATCCATTTACCATTTCACTTTGCCAGAGAAAAAATTTGTAGACAGATTTATCAATCACACCCCTGGTTTTTGATAAACCATTTTAGATTTATGTTCTGATTGTTCAGACTCTAGTGTCTGGTTAGGTGAGTTCTTACACAAAAACATACAATCAGAAGAAATGGATTGACATGGTTATGTTTTAATAGTCAATTATTAGTGGGGTAAGCTTTTATTTGACAATAAAATTGTTTCATAAGTATTCGCATGCTATCCTTAAAATTCAACTAAAAATCTTATACATAGATTCAGACGTATGAGTATGACATCTATATTTTTTATCAAATGAACAGAAAAATATGATAAAACATATTGAATAGTTATTATATGTGAGTAAACGACTTTTTTCCACCCAGGCTTTGCCTTAATGACACTTTCCCACCCAAACAATTTCAAAATACCACTTTTTCACTCAAAGTATGTATTCATTTAATACCCAAAATACACTTCACTTTCTTAGTTGGCGTTCAGCGAGTTACCAAGAGTCAGGGTGAGAAGGGTCTTGTAGAGTGGAGGCCAATGGATTAAATGGTGATATCCGATTGAATATTCGTTGCTGAAATTAGTCGAAAATCAGCTAAGAACAAGAAATCTTAGCTTTGCGTTATCCGACAATCGACGAGAAATTAGATGTTGGAGTAAGATGAGTTTTGTATAAAGGAGAGCAGAGGTTTAAGGCTCCATTTGGTTCATTATTAGGTAGTTTTTAGAATAATCTTTTGAAAAAAGTTAAATTGGGTGGGAATTACGATGTAGAATTTTAAAAATTAACATAAATACCCCTTATATTTATTTATTTACTAAACAGCCCCAAAATATAATATTCAAAATTAACAAAACACCACCAATCCACTCATAAATAAAGACAACCAGCCACCACCGCCGGAGAGTGGCCGAAGCTGCAGTATCGGCGTATGATCGACTCGATATTGCCGATCATGCGCCAATATGTCCTTTTCCGGCCAGATCCACTGTGGATCTGGCCGGAAAAGGCTAGATCTGGCCATTGACGGTCAGATGTGGCCGTATTTGCTCGTCAACGACGGCCAAAGATACAGCCATCGTTAATTGTCAATGACGACCATGTGTTTGCCGTCATGGACGACGGCCAGATCTTTGGCCTTAGATCTGGCCTTTTCCGGTCAGATCCATCGTGGATCTGGCCGAAAAAGGCTAGATCGGTGTACTACTGGCCAGATTCAGCCAGTAGTGCGCCATTATACCAGATTCCGACCATTTTCTACCGGTGGTGGCCGGAATCTGGTAAATATAGGTTGCTGGGGTTTTTTTTGCAATTTTTAAAAAAATATTTAGGGGTTTTTAATTAAATTAACAAATTTAGGGGATTTAAAAAAAGTTGAATAACATTGTGATTTTTTGCAATTTTACTATTTAACTTTATTGGAAATACTAATAATAGTATTTCCAAATGTGAGCCAAACAAAGCCTAAATGATGGTGACGGAGAGAATTTTCGCCACTAGAATCGGCTTTGGGTAGTAAAGGAATATAAATTTTGGATGAAAAAGTGGTATTTGGAAACTTTTTGAGTGAGAAAGTGTCATTAAGGCAAACCTTAGGTGGGAAAAAATTGTTTACTCATTTATACGTAAATAAATCTTATACATAAATTCAAACCAATGACATCTATTTTTTTATTAAATGAAAAGAAAAATGATGAAATATTTATACTACATTTGATAAAGACGTAATCGTCTCCATGGGCAGGCACATAGCTACATAAAGAGTTGTGGATTCAATTGAACCCACTCAACTTTTTAAAAATTACAAAAAAATATTAATATTTTATAATTTTAACCCCACTTAATTTCATATACATATTGAACTCATGAATTACTAATTAACATTTTTTTTTTGTTTTTTTGTAACTTTTCTCTCTTCTTTATTTCCTCTCATTTTCTCATTTGGTTAGATACTCCACTCCTTTAGCTTACAAGGTAAGATGATGCTCATTTTATTTTTATCTTTTTTACTTGAAATTATTTTCTTTTAACTTTCTTAATTGACGAAAGATCATGAGTTATAAGTTTTTGTTGAGTTTAATAAATGATTTGAAATTGGAAGATTAAATTACTGAAATTTTGATGTGGGTTTTGATTTAATCTTATTTATGTTGAGATATGATTTAATTAGTTGTTGTTTTAAATTGGGTTTGATAAATTTTGGTTAATTATTAAGTTAACTTTGAATAGTTTAAATAATTAATGAAACTCTAAATTGTAAAGATTCAGAGATTATACAACGTTTTTAAAATAAATAAATAAACGTTAAAGACAATTATATAATTAATAATTTCGTACTATAAATTTATCAATTTTGATGTTTTGAACCTTCTTACTCAGAATCTTGATTACGTCTTTGTCCATGTGTATAAATATAATTCACTGGTTCCAAGCCAGAAAAATCTTGTGGGCAGCACCGACTCATTCAAATCATTCATTCATGAATTTATACAATTCAGAGATCAAACGTAAACTTCGCGATCTGATTTGAAGGAAAGTATCGTTGATCCAAAACTTATATTTATGGAGATAGCTTTACTTAAACCTGTAATTCGTTTATCACACAAAATGTCCGATAGATAGGGACATGGGAGCTAATATTCTAAACATGACTGAAGTTGAAAATTGAAAATGTCGACACACAACATTGAAATCTTCACTTCCATCATCGTGGTGGTGACACTTGGACCAAGCCAGTTCTTTTTATTTGGCTTGCCGGCACCGATGAGGTTAGCTATCGAATCTTTCAGAAAAAAATATTAATTCTATTTTCAACTTTTAGAAATGGGTGATGTATTAGTAATTTAATATCATTTATGACAAAAACCATGCTAAGAAACTTGATGCTTAAGAATCCCACGTGGAAAGCGTATAAGAGTGGTCTTGAACTTATAAAGAGAGTAGTAGGCATGGCAATGGGGTAGGGTAGGGATTTCATTCACTGTATTCATCTCCGTCTTCAAAATCACTCTCCACCCTCGTCTCATCCCTGTCACGGGGATGAAAAAAATTCTCCTTTCTCGCCCCATAGGGAAATGTTAGAGGCCCATCCCTACGCCGTTAATTTTACATAAACTTAAATTAATTTGAGCATTACCAAACACAATAGTTAATTCTCATCCACATGACAAACATTTAAATTAATCATTTAAACATAGTTAATTTTACATAAATATGGGTTAGAGATTGTTCTTGTTCAATTATTTAGGGTGAGGGAAACTGGAAAAATATGAGTTTATATAGGCAAGATAATTGTGTAATTAGGTGAAATATAGGGGTATTAATGAAAAGTATATATATATATAATTTTTAATTTTATATATTATATACAGGGCGGGTCGGGGAGGGGGAAAGGCATCACCCACCCTCGCCCCATCCTTAGGGACGGGGATTAAAACACCCCCACACCCACCCCTATCCCCGAAAAAACTAGAGCTCCCCCACCCCATATGGGGAGGGGTGGGACGGGTCCCCGGAATTTCGAGAAATATTGCTATGCCTAGAGAGTAGTTTTTCCATGGCTAGTTCCTAATCCTGGTATCATAACAGACCAATGCATCTTTCGGTGTCCTACACATTAAGAAGATTTTGGGCTTAAAGTTTTTCAGATTCGAGATATGCATTTAAACTTGACTGGTTTTTATTTTTTAAGGGGGTTAATATTTTGAAAGCAAATTTTATTATTTAAACCTTTAATTAGGATAATAAAGATTGGCTCACAATCAATCTTATAAACTTTCTCTCATAATCCTGGCGTAACAACTCGTAATTCAGCAGATCAGACTTATTTGTGAACTATTACGTCGAGATTGTAAATAAAAATTTATGAGATTTGATTGTAAGCGTAATATTGCCTTAAGTAAATTATCATTTCTAGACATCTTTAAGGGACAATATAATTATTCATAAGATTATGAACAGTTTCATTACTCTAATTTTGTCTTTGCTTTTTCCATTTAAGCAGAAGAAATCGGATCATCTTTCTTTCAAAGAGTCAGTTTATAGCATTGGGTTAACGCACTTAATGGTTGAATTTGTCTTGTTAATGTGAAAATTTGTGAAAGATTGCAGCGAGGGAACTGACTACTGAGGTTGCCTGATATTCGATTGACTCGTAATGTTGGGCATGCAATTTGGGTGGGCCGATGGTCAATCCAATACCCAAAGCCGAACGCAAAATATCATGGATCAGCCCAGCATCAATATGATTAAAGCCCAAGTTTAAGCTCTACAAAGAGCCCAATTTCTGTGGATTAATCCAAGTTGCCGTTTACCCGCCCACGAGCTTTTGCTTTGATTTCACCAGAATCAGAACTCGTCCCATGTTTTAAACGATAGAGTAAACGACCTGTTCCTACCCCTCGTTTCATTTATTTCAGATTCGCACCCTTAACTAAACACAGTCAATGACTGTTCAACTAAGGGTGAGAATCTGGAAAACCGACGTGGGCCTTTTATCGAGCAGGTGGCAGGCGCGACTTCGGGCTTCAATTTCTGGCGAACGGGAAGTCAGAAACGGCCAAAAAACATACCCACACAAAATATAACACAAGGGGAGTCTGTTGGTGTAGTCTGATGACGTTAGTTGCTCTACGATCGAATAGAAAACGACTGAGAAGATACCCAAAATAGCAAGGTGGCAAGTGTGGGAGTGGCCGGAAATATGAGTGACGGCAAGTGAGGGTATAGTGTCTTGTAGAGGACGTCGTGGGGAGTCAAACGGTGGTCTCAAAAATTATTTTGGAGTTCAAGATCGATCGAAAAAAGCCAAAAACCTGCGGCTTGGGCGATGCTAACGTGAACCGCTTTTTTCTAACATGAACCAAATGAGTATCGGTGCACGTTAGCATGCTAACATGAGCCTCTTTAGAGTAAAAAGATAAAATTAAGGATACAATGTAAATTTAAGGATGGGAATTTAAAATTTATGAAACCAGACGTGTGAACTTCTCATTTCGCTGTTTACTCTGAACGATAATACAAAATGGAGGGCCCAATTTTGCAGTTACATTCTTGGGAAAGAAGCAAATGGTTGGGATAGGCTAAACTCTGAGGAGCAAGACTCAGACTTTGATATGGAATAAATGAAAGGTTTTAATTACTGATGAGTCTGATACCCACCTCTCTCCCCGACTACAGTGCATTAACTATGGATTCTAAAGTGGTTAGTCGTTACGAAGAATTATGATCTTGTCAGCTAAGAAGTGGGTATGCTATACTTCATCTCAGGGCTCTTGTTTTGCCACGTCGCCATGACTGAATTACATGTAGCAAACGCAGCTCATAAGGGTTTCTCCTTTAATGGCTTTATTTATGACTTCACCAATTCACCAAAACCCCACTTGAGAGATACAGAAAGATCAGAAACAACAAAATTAAATGGGATGACAGAAGGGATTTTACAGAATAGACTTCTTCAAAAACACCTTCATTGTATGCTGGTTTTAAAGCTCAGGATTGATTGATTGTTCTGTTTAGATTACGATGATGATATTTATGAAAAAACTTTATAAGTGTTTAGCCTGCCACCCTTTGTGTCATCGTCAATCATTTGTAGTTTACATCTTCATTTAGGTTTTGCAGATGAGGTGAATGAAAGTGGCATTTTTGAAATCAGAATCCTGGTTCGATTCTATATCTGTACGAATAGGAATAACTGCAATTGACAGTATACGGCTAAAATTAAGTTAATCTTTTAAGTGACCAGTCATCCTTTATAAAATCTTAAAGGAGAAAAAACTGATCAAATATTCTCATTCAGCGATAGTTCGAATTGTTCACAAAGACGCAGATGCTGAGATAGTGTTGCCAACCCCATGTGGTCTGGGAAAAAAGGAACTACAGAAAGTGATGGCGGAGACCTTGGAGAAACAAAATCCTTTTTAAAAGGAATGTCATTTATTAGTGGAAAATTACAATTTTATATGACATTTATAATCAACAAGAACCAACTTTTACACCTTTACACTCCTTTATCACCCAGAACTTGCACAACTAAGTTCCTCAAAACACTTTCATGAAGCTTAATTGTTATGTTACAAAGGCGACCAGGAAAAGAACTGCCAAAAAGGGATATGCCCGACTTTTTTAGTGGATGTCTCTATATCTTTTATCTGTTGTCTTCGGAATTTCTCTACTTACACAAAAGATCTCCATATTCTTCCCTCTAAGGATATTACTATGATGGAAACATCATCATGGTATCGCCTTCGATCCCCCTGTGGTATTTCAAGTAACTCGTGAAAGTCCATGCCTGCAATTAAACAAATTCGCTATGATTAGCTTCTTGTAATTGAAAAAGATTAATTTTGGAAAATGATCTCCACCAGAGTTATATTTGATTTGTACCAGCTTTCTTTGCAGCCCGGAACAGTACTTCCTCAACCAGATGCTGTGCTGGATCTCCTTCTGGTTGCAGTTTGATGAAAAGTTCAACCTCATAAACAGCTTCTTCGTTTGTGAAGTATTGATAGAGCCCATCCGAGGATAATATCAAAAACCTGTCTTTTGGCCCTAATTTGTGGTGGTATAGAGAGGGTAAACAAGTGATGTAAGGAGCTGTGCCCTTGTAGTCAATTCTGAACATCTCCAAAAGTGCATTATTCCACTTTGGCTGCAGATTTAAGAAACAAAATCAGTTGCAATGACACTCTTAATCATATTCATAACATTTAAATCTAATCACAAAGATTTTCCAAACGTAAAACAAATACACGACCAGCACTTCCAACGAATCTACCCTATCTATCATAACTCAAAAGCAATACTTTCCCAAGTGCACCTATAGGAAAATTTTGGACACTTTCAGAACCAATCTGATATTGCTATCAGCAAAATGCTCTGAAATCCTATTTCTTCTCTTTTTGCTTTGGCGCCATTGGAATCAAACTGTTCCCTTTTTTTTTTTTTTCAAAAAAATATATATATATGACCGACAACTAGAACTCTTTCGTTATATGCCCTGGACGTCCAAATACACGTATCACCTCTTAGATCAGATCTAAGCAAAGGGAGAGGAACAGCTATGTGCTTAGAAAGAAAAAGGTAGACTTTTACAATGGAAAGTATATAAGATAAATATAAATTTCCTGATGCAATTGAAGAATTGAATGTCTATCCATGTGCGGAATAATACCAATCTCCATCAATTTATTCAAAATAATGGAAAGTAAAGAATCTATCTGTTTCTATGGATAACATTGCATCAGAAACTCTCACTTGGCAACCTTAAAGAAAATATGAAACACTGAGCTGTGATGCCTGAGCAACTATAACCTTTACTCCATTATGCTAATCAACAAGAAAAGGTAATCTAGGTGTCAACAATCTACTGCTAGTGTTCATAATAATGTGATCTTTTGTTTATATAATAGCATAATCTTAAGGAGAGGAAACAAGCTTGAAAAAATCATGACGGGAGTTTTCAGGTAATCATGAACAGAGTTCTCAATGTAACATCTATGTTCTTTATGCTGCAAAGAGGCACAATAGCATATCCAAAACGGCTAAAAAGAATTGCATATCTGTTTATCATCTAAAAGAAAGTAAAAGGTCTATAATGAAAACACACCTGTTTGAGAAAGCCAGCACCAAAAGCCCGGGTGACCTTCAATGAACCTTTAACACGGTCATTCATCAAAGCACAGGCATCTTCAGGGTGTTCATTTTTAATTCTTTGAACTTCCTGTAACGCAACAATATGCAATTCAATCAATTTTAAAAAAAATAAAAATCCGTACAGAGTAAAAAGGGAAACAACAACAATGATTTTACCTCTTCCACACTCGTGCTGTGATCCACACTAAGCTGAAAAGCAGTTAGATTAGAAACTGTACTCGGTTGATCTAAATCAAACCCTTCAAGATCATGCAAAGTTTCTTCATTAATCCTCTCTAAATCTTGCCTAATCTTACCAAGCCAATAATCAGGTTCAGCTTTTTGAGCCAGAACCGCTCTACTATCACCCACATTCATCACATAAACATCCTCTCCTTTCATCAACATTACAAGCACACAAGAACCCATCAACGCCAATTCCGGATTTTCCATCACCATCTTATCTGCTATATCCAAATAAGCCTCCTCTGCTTTCTTCAATGCTTGCGATAAAGCTTTCAACACATCCGCGTGAATTATATCGTGTGCTTTATCTTTATTGTTTTTATTCAACTGTTCTTTTAATTTCCGATCAAGTTCTAGTCTTTCTCTGTCCCACTCACATTTCCACCTCCTTTGATTCTCTTCCCATTTCTTGGCCGCCCCTCTGTAACTACTCCTGAACTTCTTGTGTCTACCTCGCTTCGAATTCCAATCAAAATCAAAATCTACACACTGTGAACAAGAATCTCCACTACAATTCTTCAAAGAATCAGCTTCAGTCACGTAACTCTTTCCAGAATCATCTTGTGTAGCTGCTGTGCTTGGAATCGGTTCAAACTTGTCGTCCCACAATAAACCTTTAAGTTCTTTGTGAACGAATGAATACAAATTAGATGAAAGATAATCAGGAGCATCAGGGCCGTTGAATCCATCATAAATCCCAACAAAAACCCAACCATGTTCCTCCGAAACCACCACGTGAACACGATCTTCCCCAGCCTTGCCTTGAGCCCATTGAAGATTTTGAGACTCTTGAGAATCATCGTCTTCTAATAAACTACCGTCGCTACTCACCGTTAAATTATTATCGTTTTGGTTCTTATCCGACCCGATAATCCACTCGGGTTCTTTAACCGAAGCCATTCCTTTAATCGGAGTTACAATTGAATTCAAGTTCTGGCCGCGAGAAATCCTTTTCGATATCGCTCTCTGAAGGACCCGAATCAATGACCGTTTTCGTGATCTGGGTCGGAAATTATAACCCGAATGGGAAAAACTCCGTTGAAATTGTTCGTCGGAGCTACCCTTCTCAATCGGACCCGAAAACAACCCGGTGCGATCGAGTGGTCCAGACAAGAACCCTCTCTCAATCGGACCCGACAAGAAACCTCGCTCCAAAGGACCCGAATTATAGTTACCCGGGAATATCGGACCCGAGTTGATCAGATTTTTCGGGATCGGCTGCAGAGGAATCGAAGAGAAGTTATTAGAGCAATCAAAAGCCGCCGCACGGTCAAAACTACTGTAAGTGTACGGATCAAGGAAGGCCGTGGAGAGCGGCGTGGACGTATTCGCGCTGACGGAAGCACCGGAAATAGTGCGAAAGGTCGTCGTTTCTTCAGAGTGAACCTTGGAGGATGATAACCGAGTCGGGTCGGGTCGAACATAGCAGAAAGAGTGTCCCAGACCTTCATCAAGCGGGTCAGATATTAAAACTGATACATCGTTTCGTCGGCGAGCATGTTCGCCTCCCGTGAAGCACACGGTGAGTTTACCAAAACCGTTTCCCATACTTCAACAGACACAGAATTTAGATGGAATACCAAAACAAATTAAAAAGGAAAAAACAAAGAGAAAGGGAACCGAAAGAAGAGCTTGTGTTGATAGAAGTTTAAAGTATTAAACGACGCGTCGTCATGGCGGACGTGTGAAGAGTGAAAGAGAGAAGAAAGTGAGAGGAAGAAGAAGAAGAAGAAGAAGAGGTTAATTACAGATAGAGAGAGAAGCGTTGACTTTGGCAGTAGAGGAGAAATGCTTTTTCTTTTGTTTGAATTTTATTTAAAAAGGGAAAATATTTTTTTTTTATTTTTTTTTTTTATGAGAGGGAAAAGATACAGTGAGGCGTTGACAAAGGTGGCGGGTTTCAATAAACTCGTGGGTTTGAGTGGTTTTGGATTAGAGTTCTTGTCCTTGGTTAAGGAGAGTGGATGCACGCTCTCTCCTCTTCATTAATCGTGATAGTAATAAAAATAATTATTTAGTAAATGTAATTAAATCAGATAATTTTTTTCTTATAATTTAAAAAATAAATAAATTTAAAAATAATTTACAAGTGCCTAATTGGTTATGTTCTTTTAGAATATCATGAAGTATATTTGAGTTAATATTCGGGAATCAAAATCATGCAGAATGAGATAATGGATTTGTTGACATTTAAGATTAGTTGGTAGTACACGCAACAATAGAGAGCGTGAGGAGGTGATAAATTTTATGGAATGGATAAAAAAGTCAAAATAGCGAAACCATCCTCGCTGTCCCTTAAATAAGCATGGAAAAGCGTGCCTATATCACCGTTGGATCGGGCGTAATAGGATCGACAAAATCAAGGGTTGACTGACACCTGGCGAGTATTATTGTGTGGGTTCATTCGTTTGTCAACTTGAGGATTCCCGCTTACTCATCTCATCTCTTCACAACCTTGACTTTTGTGAGTATTTCTTTTAATGCAAATCTCTCTCTTGTTTTATTGTTTTTAATTGGAATTTTTATTTTATTTTTTATTTAATATAGTGAGGTGGGGGTGGTTGGATATTTACTGATTATGCTTCATTTTTTTTAATGAAGATTTTCAGGCAACGCAACTTCTTTCATTTGTCATGTCTGGTTTANAGTGTTGACTGACACCTGGCGAGTATTATTGTGTGGGTTCATTCGTTTGTCAACTTGAGGATTCCCGCTTACTCATCTCATCTCTTCACAACCTTGACTTTTGTGAGTATTTCTTTTAATGCAAATCTCTCACTTGTTTTATTGTTTTTAATTGGAATTTTTATTTAATATAGTGAGGTGGGGGTGGTTGGATATTTACTGATTATGCTTCATTTTTTTTAATGAAGATTTTCAGGCAACGCAACTTCTTTCATTTGTCATGTCTGGTTTATTTTGTTGACTGGATTTCGTTGACCTTTAACAGAGAATACTCATCACTAACTAAACCAGTTTTACACCAATTAAAACGTAAACGACACCGTATTTTGTAATGGTTGACAATTGTTGTTGACAATTTTTACGGCTGTTTAATAGTAAGACTAAGTAAAGGCAAAGCTTAGTTAACAAGTCTGAAAACTAGTTTTAAAATTAAACTGGTCTGATTGTTTATAATTTTTTTAAGTTTATAAGTTGAGTTTATAAAAAAAAATAATAATAATAATAAGTTGGGAGAACGTATTTTTTTTTTTTTAAGCGCTCTGTTTATAAGTTAGTTTGATCAAGTATATTACCACATTATCCTTATTTAATTTTAAAATTTCATAGTATATCCTTGTTTAATAGTATCATATTTAGTCATTTTATAATAAAATACTCTTATAAGCCACACTTTACCAAACACGTCAATTATTTATCAATCACTTATAAGTACTTTAACCAAACACGTAATTGCTTAAAATTTCAAATGCTTATAAGCTAATTTTCATAAGCTTATACAAACACCTCATATCTCTGGATGGTCAAGTAATTTGATAAAGACTCTTAGATATATTATTCAAAAAATTTATTTGGATGCTAATAGGATTACTAACTGAAGCTCTTATCCTATAGATATTTTCAGGATCCTAAGAAAATAGTTAAAGTGTGCGTAAGCTAGCTTAGATACTCCGGCCATAAAAAAGATAAAAAAAAGTTTAAAATAAAAATGGGCATAAAGCATTAATATTTAGAAGAATGATACATGGCAAAATAGGGAAATGACACATAGCAATTATGGAAATCAATGTGGCACATTATTATGAGACAAATGTAATTGGGTTTTAGGTACATGATTGCTTCCAACAACACCAAAGTAAAACAAAGGATGGATGGGGACTAACCCATTTGATGTGCACAAATATTAAATATATTGAGAGGGTTATTATATTAATTTAATACACTTAGTTTCCACTTTGTTAATAATAATCCCACTCAAGAATTCAAACCCATCATCATTCAATATTACGAGTGGAGAAACCTTCTTGTCCACCATCTCCACAATTTGCTTCACCCACCCAATCTCTATCTTCATATTTAACTTTTATAATTAAATATATTATTTACTATTTTAAAACTCATGGTAAAATTCAGCCAACCCATTATTAATTTTTTTCACTTTCACTTTTTCTGGGTTTACTAATCCATCGGGGTTTTAGAACAGTCAATCGGATAAGAGTTTCAATGACCATTCCTATTAATGTCTGGGGGCATTCGAACTCAAGAATTTATAGAACTCTTTTACTATCGGACCATTTAGTACCGGTTTATACTTTATTACTTTGTTAGTGCTTTTGTAATCATTATTTAATGAAGCAAATCAAAGAAGAAATTGTGGTGTGTATTTGAATAATGACTTTACTTGATCTCTTGAAGCTCAATTGCCATAGCTTTTTTTTTTTTTTAATTAAATAAATTAAACACCTACAGAAGAAAAAGATGAGATGATGGCTTAATGCATTGACTCATTAATTTAATCCTTAAATCTTGACTTTGAAATGATAATTTAACATTTCTTCTCTCCATCCATTGTGGGTATTCACAATTGGGAGGGTATTGTACAGTTTAGTGGGTATTGTTTTTATTAGCAGTTGGACTTTTGGTTTTGCTGTCACCATGCAGTGTTTTGTTCATTGATAATGCTTTCCACTTCAGCTAAACCAACCCTTTGGTGCCTCATCTAAACCATCTCCATCCTTTGTGTTTCTGGCTTTTGGGATATCACAAAACTGAATGTCAATTTGAGGGCTGAAATTTGGCTTACTGTCTACAATTAATGATGGAGAAAATATGAATTATAAAAGGGATAAAAAAAAAATGTCTTTTTTTACTTTAAAAACCAAATCTGATTTGACATATTTGTAGAAACAGAAGCAAATTCCCAGATTATTTAAACAAGTTTATTCAGAGTACAAAAAGAATGTTGATGTTTCATAAGTCAAGGGTAGGAATTAGGAAACTTAATCTGCAAGAATATAAATGGAATCATAATGTGGAAAGATATTTTAAAGAATAGAGAGAATGCCAGCCATTGTGCGAACACAATCCAGCTCATTTGAAATTATAGGCAGCATTGTCCTTGTCACAAGGCATCAGCACCCTCCACCACCACCACCAATTCCCACTAACCCAATCCTAAATTACACCTTTCACTCTTCTTTATCTATCTTCCCTTCCCTTCTTTATGTGGGTTGGAAAGGATAAAACTGTGGTACATAATAAGTCACACGACAAATAATACGCTCTTTCGATATAAATAGAAATAATACATACAATCAAAGATAACCCTAATTTTAGTAAGTCTGTCAAGTGCATTTACTCTCTAAAATCCAAATACTTTAGTGAGATATACTGCTAACTTGAGCGTTAGAGAGTACATGCCAGAAAACACTTTATTGGCCTCCCTTGTTAATGCTTGTTTGCCCGTTTTACAAGTACTAAAACTCTCTCCTCAAACTCACACTCGTTTCCTCGTTCAATCGTAGTTGACGGTCGGGATAAATTCCATTCTAACTCAATTAGAGTTGATCGAGACTTATAAAATACCAATGTCAACTTTGAACTTGTCAATATTATCGTAATCGTGTACAAATTGGATAGTCAATATGGTACATATGTTGTTCAATTTCCCAAACAATAGAACAAAGTTTCTTCAAAAATGTTCGGCAAAAACTACTGTTTACTAGCATGATTCAATAACAATTCAATCACGGCACCCCATCTTCAAATTCAACAGACTTTTATGTAATTAGTAATCAAATTTCGAAACAGTATCTTTGACTTTGACTGATATATAGTTTTAAAATCAAAGCATCACAGAATTGTTTTACTAATTGTCTCGAGTTTGACCATGCTTTTGTAAAAAGAATAATCCAATTTAATCCATTCCCATATAAATTTCTGATCACGATATTCAAAGTGCTGTGACAATAGTACTTTTGATGCAATTTCCACAGGCCCAGGAAGAAAAAACATAAGGCAGAGGCTAGTCAATATTTTACTTTTGCCCTTTTTTGACCTTTGTTTATGCAAATGAATTTTCTCATTTTTTTTGTTTTTTTATATTATTATGAACTGTTATGTCTGAAAAAGTAGGATTGACGATGAAGTCTTGTTAGTATAGGATAGTCAGAATTTAGGAAGGTTCTGTGATCGTTCAGAGGCAGCCACGTTACATAATGACGTAAGTGACATGCCCTTGTCAGTACAGTGGGTGAACATCAGGTTAGCGGATGGTTGGAAATCGTCCATGTGTCTAATCTTTGCACAAGTCAAGGAAATTACTTTGACATGTGAGCAATGAGACGAAGAGAAAGATTTGCACGGTACCCACCCAGTTACAGATTTAGTAATCATTACCTTGATTCATCCCACTATAAATAGATGACTTTTCTCTCATTTGCAGGATTGGCTAATTTCACTATAGAATAGCTTACTCTCTCTCTCTCTTGTATTCTCTAAGTTATAACTCAGTTCGCTAAACGCGACATGACCTTACTCTCATTAATACAATATCAGTAGACATAGGATTCGCTTTTGAGCATCCGAACCACTTTAAACATTGTCTCTCACCCTTTATTTAACTAAATATTCTCATATCGTGTGTGACTTTTAAGTCTGCTTAGCATTTCTCATATGTAAATAGTTAGTGTCAAAATCAAGTATCTACATGAAACAATTTTTTCAAATTCAAATAAAAATCATTGGTTTGAATAACTT